GGTGGTGCTGATCATCCTGCTGGTGGTGGCATGGGTGCTCTATAAGAACAAGAAACCCAAGAATTGCCCGCCCGGTGAGTGCCAAAGCCGCAAAGCTGGTCCCAGGATACAGTGCATTGGGTGATCGCCGGTACGTGGCACGTTAGGTCGTCAAGCTGGCGTGCATACGTTGGCGATCCGATTGTTAGCGCTTGTTACCTGCTGTCAAAGGCTTTGTTGTATCAAAGTACCCTACGGTCATCCATGAACTGATGCTTAATTAACCCTATGAACTTGGTACATCAAATTCATAATGCTTAACTACACGACACCTTGCTACGATCGCACAACGATCATGCATGAACCAGTGAAGGAGTTCAATATTTTGCTCGCTCATTCTCGCACAAACGCGTTGTGTGGCGCCGTTGATCACTCCTATCTTTTCATCCCCACAGGTCCCGTCAACATCCCGCTGGTGGGACGCGCGTTCGCCATGAACCAGAACCACCCGGAGAAGGCCTTTGTGGAGTGGCAGCGCCAGTATGGCCCTCTGTACAGTGTCAAGATGGGTTCTGACCTTATGGTTGTCATCTCCGACCCTGCCTTGCTGAGAGAGGCCTTCAACAAGCCGGCCTCCACGGGTCGGATGGCCGGCCCCGTTCTCGAAATGCTCGGTGTCCAACGTGGGCTCATCTTCTCTGTCGGCGAGGACTGGCACGTGCGACGTCGCTTCACGCTCTTCCATCTGCGCAACTTCGGCATGGGCAAGGCCCGCCTGGAGGATGTGATTCGAGAGCAGGTGGATGCGTTCCTGGAGCACGTAGTGGCTCCGAGTGAGGGCCAGCCCCTGACGATTGACCACAGCCTGGATCTGGCCGTGGTCAACATCATCTGGGGCATCGTGGCCGGCGAGACGATGAGCATGAAGGACACGCGTGTGCTCGACATCCTCGAGAAGAATAAGAGTGTCGCCGATAAGGCGAAGCGGCTCAACATCGCGGTGATGGTGCCCTGGTTGCTGAAAGTGCTACCGCGCAGCTTGTTTCGACTGGACGAAGTCATCGAGCTCTTTAATTACCCGAAGACGCACCTAATCGCGCCTGTGCTGGAGGCGCACCGGCGCGACTTCGACCCGACCTCGGAGCCGCGCGACTACATCGAGTGTTTCCTGCTGGAGCAGCGCTCTGACCCGCAGCGGTTCACGGACGAGGTGTTGGCGCGCAGCATCGGCGACATGTTCAGCGCCGGCAGCGACACCACCAGCACCACGCTGCGCTGGGCCTTCTGCCTGCTGTGCGCGCGGCCCGAGGCGCAGCGGCGCATTCAGGCGGAGATTGATCAGGTGGTGGGCGCCAGCCGGCCTCCGTCGGCCGCCGACCGCCAGCAGATGCCCTTCACAGAGGCCTTCCTGATGGAGACCCAGCGGTTCGGCGACATTGTGCCGATGGGCGTGCTGCACTCGGCCGAGCAGGAGTTCGAACTGGGTGGCTACACGATCCCACGCGGCACCATCCTCGTGTCCCTGCTGCGGGCCATCCATCGGAACCCGGCCCACTTCCCCGAACCAGAGCAGTTCAAACCAGAACGCTTCCTTGACAGGGAGGGCCGCGTGCGCCCCAGCAAGGCGCTGATGCCGTTCTCAGTCGGCAAACGCTCGTGTCTCGGCGAGGCGATGGCTCGATCCGAGCTGTTCCTGTTTTTGACGTGCGCGCTGCAGCGGTACAGCTTTGCCTTCCCCGCCGGCTTCCAGCATGACCTGTCGAGCGCCGACCGGCTCGGCGTCACCACGCCCAAGCCGTTCGAGGTGGTACCCACCCGCCGCCGCTGACCCCTCCCCCGCCCCCGCCCCCCCCCCCCCCCCACACACACACCGTCCGGGGGTCCCAGATGACGGCTGTGGAGGTAGACGGGCGTTCACAGTGCCATCAAAAGGCACTGTGTGCCAGCGCTAGTCGGGTGTTGCCGTGAGAACGATGTCGGGATATAGCACCACACAGTGTGACACGATGAGCCGTGAACTGGATTTAAATCGTTTTTCGCCAGACTCCAGCCTGTCGTGTGGGTGTTATCGTGGACAAATGAGTGCAATCAAACGCCTCGCACAAACGCTTTTCGTAACTATTGATGTGCGGGTTAGCGCAATGAATGAATCCGTATGAATTTTGCCGCTTGTCAGCTTATGGGCTGACAATTACAATCGATTCGATTGTATCTGTTTGTTTGATTTTCTGAAAGCATAGACGAGTCAAGATAGGTAATGTTTGTTTAGGGCGCGTTTTAGCGCGGCGTGGTGTACCGTCTGCCCTAATCGTAGATGTCTGGCATCAGTCGTCCTATCAGTAAGCTGTGATGATGTTTATACAAAACGTGACCATGCGAAAACGTCTGTAGGCAAAACCAAACGATGATAATAATCGTACATAATAAGTACCAGCTTCAGTGATCTATGGAAACTTATCTTGAAACACCAAACAATTTGTATGTATTTATTATGTATTGCGCAGACATAGAGCCACAAGAACAATGGATGAAAGTTGATGATAAATCTCATTCATCTTAAACATTCTTTAAATACTTGCATTCACACCAACAAGTCAGTTCTGTAAAAACAGCGACGTCTGAAGAGACGCATACCAGAATAGCGCGACATCCTCAGAGCATTAGTAAAATGGAGCTGATACAATAAAACGCCCGACATTGAGAGCACGATCACAATTATATCATGTAGCTAATGCAATCGAGCACAGAGAGCAGAATAGATAGATCATTCGGCCGATGCGCAGTGTTCCTTTGCCATGAACCGGCTTGGCAAAGGCATCGTAAACGTTTATATCATATAAGCACAAGCCTGGCGCCTCTCGTTCTGATCATAACAACAACGAACAGCCCGCAGACTGCAGAGAACCTCTGAAGACGCTTGGATAGCGCGCAACCGACTGCCCCAGCTACCACAGCCAGTGCCGCGGGCAGGCTAACGTCAAATTCTGAGCCAGGCCGCGGCAATCTCATACAAAGATCAAAACAAACGACAACATGTGACAACATTGATAATTACACGCTTCCCCTCCCGATTCCCCGGCACTCATGTAGAACAATATAAGGAAATACAAGCGAAGTGCTATTGATTTAAATGTATAGGCAAGCCTGACAGCCTGTGATCATCTGAAGTAATGAGCCCAACATCTTTGCCATTCATAGACTCCAGCAACCGGGTTTCAATCATAATACCATGATAATACCACGGAATACATACGACATATATTCGACATATGTCGTAAACTATATATTCCGTGATAATACCCTCCGGATAGATTCTCCTTTCTATAGTCCATCCCATCGCATCCAGCCCCTCGCCACCGGCTCAATGTGAGCTTCCATCCCCAGCTGAAATGTCATCCTCATCGGAACCGCCTGCTAAGTACCGCTAATCTCACATCTACCGTCGTTACGACTGAGCGAAGAAAGACCCGACATGATACCGCCCTGTACGGGAAGAGTAGTGGAGCCGACAGTATCGCCCTGTCCGGGAAGAGTGGAGCCGACAGTATCGCCCTGTCCGGGAAGAGGGAACCCGATAGTACCGCCCTGTGCGGGAGACGACCCGACAGTATCGCCCTGTCCGGGAGACGACCCGACAGTATCGCCCTGTCCGGGAGACGACCCGACAGTATCGCCCTGTCCGGGAGACAACCCGACAGTATCGTCCTGTCCAGGAAGAGTGGAGCCGACAGTACTGCCGTGTCCAGAGAGAGAACAAGCCCGAGGTGATCTATATGACTAGATAAGTGAAACTTTTTTAAATATAAAGGTACTGTATTATAGAAAGCCTTCGCAAACGCGTTTCGAATAGATCATCTTCAGTGCTAGCTTCCCATAATACAAAAAGAAAATGGTATAAAAGCTCACATCGCAAATACACACTCTGCAATTTTTCTCACAATATCACGGGTAGAATGTTTTTATATACTTCTGGAATGCAAGACCGCAAATCGCCCCTCCTAAGGTGTAAAAGCCCCCCTTATGGTTCGTACATGACACACTTTGAATTAATGCCGACTCAAGGATTTTTCTGTGCGATCTCTTCAGACCTGATTTCACCGCACTGGCTTTATCCCACTTAGGTAGGTGACCCTCTGTTTCGGCATGTAACGTAATTGAGTTAGACAAATTATGATTTATCAAATCACGCTTGTGTTCAGTTACTCTGGTTTTGAGCCCTCTGTAAGTTTCACCGATATATACTTTTGGGCAGCCCCCACAAGGAATTTGGTAGACTACGCTGTTCGCCCTTCGCTGTCCTTCAGTTCCTCCCTTAATCATGTCACCTATTTTTGTTCCAGATTTTTCTATCAGCCTAACACCTGCCTGTTTTAACCCTTTTGCTAAGCATTGCACTTGTTTAGAATGTGGCACAACAATGACTCGTTTGCTTTTCTGCTGTCTTTCTTCATTTTGGTTTCTTGTATTTGCTTGTTCTTTCTTCTTTCTTATGCGTTTGGCACTGTTCTTGCATCTAATGAGAAAAGCTCTTGGGTATTTGAGCCGTTCAAATGCCTCGAAAATGTGTTTGATCTCATCTGCGATGTACTTTTCGCTGCAAATACGGTATGCGCGCAGGAAAAAGCCAATGACGACCCCTGACTTTGTTCTCATGCTATGTGCAGAATAAAAATGAATATAATCCTCCTTACTTGTTGGCTTTCTATAGACCGCAAACTTTACACTAACATCTTCCTTGATAATCTTAACGTCTAAGAAGTTAAGTGTTTGGTCTCTTTCTTCTTCTAGTGTAAATTGAATGCTCCCATGTACTTGATTCAGCTCTTGTAGCTTCACGTTTAGATCCATTTCCTCTGGCGCAATGACTAAAATGTCATCCACATAACGATACCATTTTGTATCATTCCCCATCACCTTGCTGAATTCCTCCTCCTCTAACATTTCCATAAATAGGCACGCAGCCACTGCGCTGAGAGGTGAGCCCATGGCAAGCCCCTCGTTTTGTGTATATTCTTCTTTGTTGAAGATGAACGGATGAAAGTTGAGGCAGAGCTTTACTAAAGACAGATAATCCTCTTTTGGTAATGGTAATGAATCTTCAGTTAGGCCGTTCAGCGCTTTTTCAATCGCCTTTATAGCGCCGTCGATAGGGACGTTTGTAAATAGCGCCTTGACGTCAAAGCTCGCTAGTTTTTTCCCGTTAAATTGCGTTTGTTTTAACCGCTCAATGAGGTCCCCTGAATTCCTTAAGTGAGCGTCACTTAAGCTTCCCAGAGTCATTGTCAACGGTTTGGCTAGTATCTTAGCTAACCTATGGGGCGCACTTGCAATGCCTGACGTAATGGGGCGCATCGGTATGCCCTGTTTGTGAATCTTTGGGAGCCCTCTCATTTTAGGTGGCAAAGGATCTTGTTCCAATGTGTAAAGTAGTTGTTTTCCTTGTTCAGACTTTTTAAGAATTTTTCGAGCCTCTTTATTGAATTTTTCTCCTTCAGCTTTTGCATAACCTGTCTTTTTCTTTTCATATACCTTATCCTTCAAAAGTTCATTCATTTTCTCTAAGTAATCATTCTTGTCCATGACGATGATACCCCCACCTTTGTCTGCTGAAGTAATGATAATAGAATCGTCCTTGGCTAGTGAATCTAGTGCCTCATGATATCTTCTTGGCAGGCTGCTGTTCTCTTTGTCAGCCAAAATCTTGCAACATGTCACTACTCCCTGAACAAAGCCCTTGTCAACATTAGTATCGTTATTTTTGTAATTTTTAGCAACGTGTTCAACTAATGATACTTGGTCTTTGCCCGAGTCGAACTTTAAACCATATGAAAGTGCTTCTTTTTCGCTCGCTGATAAAGAAGCACTTTCATATGGTTTCACGAGTGATCACCTCGAGCGGTGTCCCGAGGTGATCACTGATCAACTCGGGACACCGCTCCTCTGACGCAGCCGTCTGATCATGCTGTTGGAAGTGCCGCAGCGCCCTGGAGAAGAGCTGACAGGAGGGCGACAGGTTCAGGAGGCAGGCGCCAGTCGCTGCTGTAGGTGTCGTTTCTGCTCTGACCCGGCAGCCACGTAGGAGAAGACGCATAGCACCGAGTAGCATATCTGATCGGCCTGGAACGATAGCAGGGGGAGGGGGGGGGGGTCAGAACGGGACAGAAGGCACGCGAGGTCTGATTGGGAAAGCAAAACATACCTAAAAAGCCTGGATATTTTTCAGCAGTACGAGACGAGAGGCTCGGTATAGCCTATGTAGTGCGCCAAAAACACGCTTTACGCGGTTACGCCTTTTGCAAAAACTCTCGTTTTTTATCGTACCTGCTTATGCTTAGGTATATAAACGGCACGACATAACCAGGGTTGTGCTCGACTCAAAAAAAAAATTGCCGACTCGACTCATCATTCAACTTCAGAAAGCCCTGACTCAACTCTGACTCAAACAAGGAGCTGATTTTTCCCTTGACTCGACTCATGACTCAAGCGGCTCAATGAAAATATGAGTCGACTCAAACTTGACTCAAATTTTTTTGTTGAGTCAAGTGAGTTGACTCAAAATTGACTCAGATAAAAAAGTTGCTGAGCGGGGGCGGGGGTGGAAAAAAATCCGGCAGCAGAGCCAGGGCGAAGTTGTTAAGCGGGGGGGGGGGAGGGAATGAAAAGCTTGTTTCTAGAAAGTTGAGTCAGCTGACTCATGTTCCTAAATGTTTGACTCAACTCAATGTCAAAAGTTATTTTACTGACTCAACTCTGACTCAACTCAACGCCTTAATATTGTTGTCCGACTCAACTCTGACTCAACTCAACAGCTTAACATTTTATCCGACTCGACTCAAATCTGACTCATTTGAGTCAGAGTTGAGTCAAATTTCTGACTCAACTCATGAGTCAAGCACAACCCTGGACATAACTAATTCTCTTGCCGCAGTCCAAGAATCCCAGGGTATAATAGTTACGCGGATAAATGCTACCAATTAGGTTCAAAAAGGAAATATAGGATAACCTATCGAGTTGAATTACTCACCATCGACGATTTATATTTCCTCTGTAATATCTGCCGAGTTTTGGGATCTGAAACGGAAGAAAACAAAACATGTTAAACGCCACTGGTATATATTACGGGCACGGATAACGTTCGCAAATTGGGGAGCGAGTACAAAAAGCCGAACGATCGGCCTTATGCAATATGTATGTTTTATCGGTCTGTTGCATAAAACTGTCTTTTCGGACCGTTAAGAATTAGCAAAACAAAACGAGCCAGTAGCAGCGGTGGCAAAATAGTGACGAGTAAGACGGGTGACCTGTTCGACAGGGGTCACATGAATGGGTCGGGGCCAGACGGGGGCGGTGACATTCTGTGGAGTAAATGCCTAAGGCACTTACTAAACGCATCTTCGATCGGCTAAAAATTCAATCTTGGCTTTTAGATAAACGTAAGAATACAACCCCGGCATTTCAGGGGAAAGAAGTCTCAGTAAGCCAACCTGCTATGTCAAAGTAACCCCGCGACCCATTCGTCTGACCTCTATCAAGGTCACCTGGCATCATGCCAGCAGAGCCGAGCGAGTGCATGGGCCGATGCGCTTTCAGTCGCTTGTCGAGTGACGGCGCGGGTGCTGGGTCGGCGTTGGCCAAACGTTTGGTCACGGACGGACGGACCGATGAACTGGTGATTGGCTGAACTTAGCAATGTGAATTGTGAACTGTGGTGCACAACACTCAAATGGCTGCCCTCTGCCCTGTGGACTGTGGGTGGATCGCAGTGACAGCCACCCTGTGATTTGGGCCTTGGAGAGCATTCGTGGTGTGACGGGTGAACTGCGACGCACTTCAGTGAGTGCTATACCGATGCTGGATCCTACATGGTCCGTGATCAATGATCATGAGCTGTCTAAAGGCTACCTACACCATCTTGCACGGGAAAGGAACTAGAGCAGATGCCAAGGTTATCGGCATCCAGCCAGCCGACATAAGACGGTGAGTGTACCCTTCGAACCGTTTATCTCTCGAAAGCAGCAGTGCATTTCTGCCTAGAAACGGGTGCCTCTGTTTTGCTTAGACGGTTATCGGCCGGTCTCCTAAGCTGGTATGTCGATTTGATGGAGTGGGTTTGGACGTAAAACGTTAAAAATAAAAATGACCGGCTACCCATTAACCACACACGTCCTAAACACATTTGCAGTACTTACTGAATTCCTCTAGCACGAAGATTCCTCCCTTCTGCGTGAAGCATTTCCTGATGTGGTCCAACCGGACGAAGAACTGTGAAAGAAACGCAAATATGTAAAATTACCGAAAACGGGAAACGATTACCAACACCTATAAAATGTGCAGCTAAACGTAAAACCTACTCAATACTGATTTGTAATGTGCAAATCATCGGTTTAGACCCGAGACCGTACATTTCAGCATAAATAGCTAAAAGAAGTGGGTAATGCTCGAACTTGATTTTAAAAGTTATACCTGCTTCATAGAAAGTAATAAAAGATATAACACAATAAGAAGCAATTTATGCAGCTGTTGCTTCAGTCTTCCACATAGAAGCATTCATGATATGAACAATAAAACACCAAGCTCTTCAAAACCGTGCTGACGTCACAAATCACAAGCGCGTGGCCTTATATGTTCATGTGCAAAGCTTTTAAGCCATTCCAGAGTTCACTAGTTCGCATTCACATGGTTCACTGCAGGACCGTGCTGGAAAGGAGCGTTGAACGGAAGTGACAGTCATGCCCGACATTGGGACGGACCGATAGTGACCTCCAAAGTGATCCGTTCCACTTCCATGTATCGTCGCCGACAGATGATGCTGTGTTTCGGTGATTGCTTTCTTATTGATGCATTGAGAGTTCTATCAATTTTCACTGTTCTCTTATTTCATTTCATGCATAAACCGTGGCCGTCTATCGTTTGACCAAGGAGTAAGAACGATTCCGACACAATGTTCGTTATTTCTTTTTCATTTAAATGTTTTGGACATAGTGTTCCGACGAACAGTTTTATACCGGCGAATAAGCCCGGGATCTCCTTTAGACTATTCGTCCTCCAGCTTGTACGCACAGCTCGCTACAGACAACACCACTAGAAGCCAGCCAAAGCTACCGAGCTGCAGCCCTCGCAGCTCCCAGGAGCAGAGCCGAAGCAGCTTGAGAGATGGTCACGTGACCCACAGCCTGCGCATGCGTGCCGATCACGCGGGAGGTACGGAAGCTTTTCTACGAGGGACCGGCCCCGATCTGTACCTCAAAGTCCTTTGTGACGGCATAGAACAGAGAAATGCGCCGTTAGCCGTGTCGTAGCCAGAGACGCGCCGGCCGCGCCGCCTTAGGACAGTGGGTGGCGACCATCTCAGAAGTTTTTCGGTCGGTGCTCTTTCTGACTTGAACTGCAACTACCGCTATAACACAGTGCGCAACTTGCAAGTCTTCTAATAGTTAGAACGCTAAAGCGAGTCAGCGGCCTGCTCTATCGCAGCAACCGGCATGCAAGGAGAGATAAAAATGCATCAAACTGCTCCATCTAGGTGTCAGTCAAGCATTCTCCACAACTCGAAAATAAAGTAGAGTGGGGACTGCCCGCACCACCCAACCCAGGAATGAGGAAAGGATAGGCGATAGCGGCTCAGCCGGTGCGTCTACAAGCCACACAAGCACATCATCTGGCGTCAGCATACTGGTGTTACCTTGGACGTGGCGAAGAGCAGGCCGACGCCCTCCATGCAGACCTGAAGCAGGCCTCCCTCGCCAGTGGTCAGGTCCTGGACGGGAAACTCTCCGCCCAGGTCCAGCCCGGGCGCTGCGCCGGCGCCGCGTGCCGCAGCCCGCTCCATCGCCTCTTTGACGCAGTAGTAGAGGTCCCGGCACTGGCGAAGGAGAGAGGTTAGCAGCGAATGAAAGATTCGCCCAGAATTAGTGCAATGATAGGAGGTGCATTTCATGAAGGTGACAGCGGCTATCGACCAGAGAATGTGCTAGGAGGCATTTTATTTTAACTCGGAAAATAATCCAGTATTAGACAATTTAGTAAAAGATGAATCGAAGACCCTCTTGCAGAGTGCCTTTTTCATCATTTTCTAGACTACTTGAGTTACATTTTTCCTCTAACGTCATATTGGTCAAAAGCATATCACCGTCGACACCAGCCTTTTACCGACGGAACTCTAACTACAGGACATAGCAGCGTACCCTATAACTGAACATGAAACCCACTCCAGCCATCCACCGCCGGCCCTCTCACCTTTCTGGTGTAGTACTTGTGGAGCTGCGTCTTGCCGCCGTTGCGCCGCCACAGGCAGAGAATCTTGTTCTTGGGCGAGTAGGTCATGTTGACGAGTCTCTCGAACCACCAGCGCTCTACGATGACGCCGTTGACGCTCCGTAGCACCAGTCCGTCATCACGCACCTCGAGAAACATCAGCTCGCCTGACGACAGAGTGGGCACAACGGTATCGTTAACGATCCTCACACTACTTGGTTTCGTCGTTTTTTAGGCTTACTTGTAATGTTCGCAAGTAGTTGTAAGGAGTGACGAAGACAGCCCTCTGCACCGAATTAGTGAGCCAAGCCTCTGTCTCGATACAAGCAGGCGCTCACGACTGGTGTCTTCAATTATATGTCTGAGACTGTTCTGACTTAGGAGCAGAAACAAGGTCCTTTGCTTGAAACAAGGTCCAAGCTGCACCCCTGCACGAACCACTAGAACGTCTCGCCTGGACAGGAGCGGTAGCCGTTCCCACCAGAGGGCGCTGGAGCCCCACCTCAGCTAATGCAGGGACCCCCTAGACGGGTCAGAGGGCGCTGCATCTCACCTAGGCCCGTACAGGGACTCGCCGCCAGAGTGAAACCGTCTCACCTGGACAGGAACTTTCACCAGAAGGCATTATATCTCAGTTTGATCAAAAGAAGCACCACCGGAGAGGCTGTTGTCGTCTCACCTGGGTACTCACCAGTCATCAGAGGGTGCTACATCCCATCTAAACAATGACTCTCACAAGACAGCGCTGTCGTTTCACATGGACTCTCCAGTGTCTCCTGATGGCGCTTTGGTCTTACCTGAGCCGTCTGTGCCACAGTGCACGGTGAAACTCTGACGGTGCATCTGTCTCGAGCCCAGAGGTCGCAGGTCGATGTCGTTACCGTGCTGAAAAAGTGGCATTTATAGTGGTTAGAATAGACAGACTGAGTCTACCACGCAGTGGGTGGGTAATACATTGATAGCGCATTATGTGAAAGTTGGTCCCGCAAACAATGATGCGTGGGATAGTTCTTGATGACATCATTACTGCATAATAAGGGTTTACCGTTGATCGTTCATATTAATAAGATTATTATGATGGACGTTCTAAGTCATTGTTCGCAGTCTGCCCATATTTTTGTTATTTACTGCACGACTTCGTCGGTAAAAGGTTATGGTATCTATTGAGTGACCAATGACCATCTCCTTGATCAAATAAATAATGTTTATATGGATAAATACATAATCAAATATAGCCTACCGGGACTCAAAGTCAGTCATCCGGCAAAGTCGGTAAAATGAGGCATCTCCCCTCTGCATGTGGCTAAAAGCAACCCAATAAAGCGGAGTATCCCCGTACACGTGACCAGCACAATGCGACATCGATCTCGGGACGAGACCAAGACGAGAATCATATTCCCACGCATTCCACCTCTCCCCGAGAGGCTGACGAAATCACAACCGGTTGTCATGACAACTCACCAGGTTGCCGACTTGATCGAGCAGTTCATTGACCTCCTGGCTGTAGACGAGTCCGATGTGACTCTTGCCGAGAAGGCGCCGGACTTTTCGCTTCATGTCGTCCTTGTTGACGTCGAGCATCACCATGAAGGCGGTCAGGTTGTAGAGCATGGTGGAGAGCAGGCGGTCCTCGTCGTGTTCCAGTCGCTTCCGCTCCGTGGCTGACAGTGTGCTGTATCTGTTGGCGAGGACGGGTTGGAGGCGTTATCGAGGATGATGGAACTTATATAACGATGGACGATGGACAGTGGGCAGCGACTATAAGACAGCTTACTGTGGCAGAAGATCGCCAGCATTGTCCATAAAACGAGCCAATGGACAATAAATCGGAGGTTTACTACGCAGTACGCAGTACGCAAAGAAGCACTGTCTGGAGCTAGCCAAATGTGCTGCGATACGGTTACCACTATTTGCATTATATTGGGGGTTACCTAATTAGATTACATGTACCTATACTTTCATGTCCCAAAATTCTAAAAATGATCATGAGTCATGACGGTTAATAATTGTCACTGACTGAAGCGGGCTAGTATCGTTTTAATCCATAAAATGGCGGCGCTGACACCTGTCGCCTGCTTTCCTTACCTCTCCATCATTTCGCCGGGCCCCTGGTCCATGCCAATCATGTCCCGCTCCTGAGCGACCGCGTCCAGGAAGGCGTCCTCCCAGAACTGGGCCTGGTCCCACAGAATCGAGCGGCCCTTCCGCAACATTCCTGCGATAAGTGGACGGGCAATATGTAGTAAGCACAGCCAGACTAAGTAGTTGTCAGTTCAGGCACATCGAGAATAATGCTATTGAATCCGTTTACAAAATAGTTTCTCGGTTATAAAAATACATCCTTTCACGAAGTCGTCTGACTACTTGCTCAGCCAAATGGATTCGATCCTTTTCTTTATCGCAATTTACCAATTTCATTGCCCTTTATTAGCCGGATGAAATCAAAATAGAGCCATCATCAAAACACTGAAATCTTTTTACGATAAACGGTACACCGTTTATCCACTCCACTTTCCTTAACAAATGTCACATATCCGAACATGCGGATAAGTGGGCGTTACATAACAACGCTCAGAAATCCGACGCCGACAGCCAACCACCACCACCCACCTTCAAACAGGTAATTCCTGCCGGCTCCCTCTGGTGACGGTGTGCTGATGATGCTTCCTGCGTGGTACCGAAAGCCCGTGCTCAGAGACGACTTAGAGGACCACACACTGGCGGTACGGGAGCGGGGCGGACGCGGCTCCTCCAGCTCCGAGTCACTGACTGCCGGTCGGAACACCCCCTGCTGGAGGCGCGCTCGGAACGCGGCCGCGTTGGTCACGATGCTTCCCGTCTCGCTGCCCCCTCGCGCCGCCTCGCCACCCCCTTCAGAGTCGACTGACGCTAGTTTACCCATCAGTTGATGCCGCTTCTGTACGAGTAGCTCCCTGAGTGCGTCGGCCGTCGAGTGCTCGTCTGGACTGCGTAGAGTGTCGTGAGCCAAACCTCGACCGCCGCCATAATCACTGAACACGGACGCTGACGAGGACTTCCGCGACACATCCGGAGTTACGTCCAGATGATTCCCGCGTATTGCCGGCGACCCCTGAGGAGACATGGGCGAGCGGAGGTTATCCCGGCTTCCAAACGGGCTGGACGCACCCGACACTCCTCCGGCCATCAGCCCGGTGGTCTCGTGCAGGTCGCGGCTCCAGTAGTGCGTGTGCGCGATCTCCAGCACCTGGAATGCGGAGGCCATGCCGCCGAGACCCTGCTCACTGTAGGTGTGTTCCAGGCCGCTGACCACTGCCAGCAGGAGCTTCAGCATCCCCCGCCACACGGTGCGGGTGACACAAACGTCCTCAATGTGGTCGTCAGGACCGATCTTTTTGTCGAGAGTTTGGTTCAGACGGGAGACCACCAGGTTGCGGTAGTTCTCGTCCTCCATGAGCTTCTTGACGCGGTTCAGCTTCAGCCAGCCGAGACCCTCACCGTCTATAACCTGCTGCACAACCTGTGGACAGCGGCGTGGAACGTTACCCCATGCCTGACAGAACTTCCTTAGCAGAGCATTTGATGGGCAATCAAAATCTGTTGCAGTATGACCATACGGCAAAACCGGGTGAATGCTTCGGCACCAACTAAATTGCCTAAAAATTGCTATTAATTTCAACAGCGAAGCTTGAGGAAGAAATATATTAGGGGCCACATCAGAGCTTGCTATGTCCAACGATGAAACAAACTAAGCATCAGTGCTCCCTATATGACCACACTTATGCCATCCTCCCACTGGTACTCTTCGGCGCTCACCTCTTTGAGAAAAGCCTGGCTCTCGGCGCTGGTCGTGTTCCTCTGCTCATAGTCGACCTCCAGCTGGCGGGCGGTGCGGGGCGTCGGCGGCTGCGGCGTCGGCGGCTGGACCAGGGTGGACCGGACGGAGGGACGTCGGTGGGGCCGGGGGAACGGGCCCAGGGGTACGGGTCGGGGAGGCACGGGACGCTGCTCCGGGACTGGTGACGAGGCCGGCCGGCTGGGCGGCGAGCGCGAGCCTGGGGAGAGAGATGAAGGAGTTGTGATGAGGGTAATATTACGACATAAATGTTGAACGAGCATGAAGTTAATTGCAGTATGGCGGGCACCTGTATTTACATATTCGTCGGTGAAATCCATGGAATACCTGTGTCATCGTACGTTTGTACGTCAGTAGCCATCCGGGTGTCACACAGTAAAAGCAATACATCAAAGACGCAAGAACTGAGTCACGCATCTGAGACATTGTCATTGATCTAAGCGAACCCATCCGTCCCCTCCTCGCTCACCGAACACGGTGCTGAGCAGGCTGGACGTCTGCTGGGCGATGCCGTTCAGCTCACTGCTGACGTTGCTGAGGAAGCGCCGGGAGGCGCCGGGACTGGTCGCGTCGCTGGTCGGCCCCAGCGTGTCGTGTCGCACCAGACCGCCGTCCTGACCCACCGGGTGTCGCGTCTGCGACGCCTCCCTGGGCTCTCTGGTGACGGTAGTCACCGGTACCAATCGCTGCATGACGGACGCCTGCCGCGCGCTCCGGCCCAGCTCACCCAGACGCGTCTTGCCGGCAAACGTCAGGTCATCCAGGGTCGTTTTGGAGGCGGTGCGGGCGTTACGAGTCAGCTGACGGGCCTTCTGAACTGACTGAGAAGCCTCCTTTCGAGCCTGTGGGAGCGTCGGGTACGAATCAGTCACGTCTAGACGGCAGAGAATATTAGATTGCGGTTACGAGGTAATGTTATTGGTACTGTAATGTAATGCGAAGTGACTTCCTACTTAATCATGCATTACCTGACATTCTCAATTCCTCAGCTTTACATAAGACTTGGGTGCACGAGGTTTGATGAAACGCCACTGTCGGTTCAACGTGTGAGGTCTCACGGCCGATACAAACTTTGTAATAACTTCCAGTTGAGGTTTCTACAAGCACGTTCCAGGGCACGTGAACAGGAAGCAGGCAGACCTCAGTCCCTGCAGCGCCCGTGGTTAGACTGACACGGAACAGGCACGTGGGCGGCACGGGATAGGCACGTGACTGACACGGGAGAGACGATTCTATTTACAATCACGTTTCCTTCGATGTCGAACGAACCTTGTCGGCGTGCTCAAGAATGCCGCCTTCCTCTCCGCTGGAGTGTCGCAGTACCTCCACCTTCTCCGAGACTTTGCTCTTGATCTGCCCCAGCTGAAAGAGGAATAGAAACTCAATACCTCAATGCAATCAGACGGCGTAGGATCGGTTTGATGACCGATATCAGTTGAACGTGAGACAGCTGCAAGAAGTAATGATCATTAACCATTGATACTGCCATTTCTCAGACAAAGATATCTGCGCAACATTTGAAGCGATATTTCAATATAGGAGCATAACTGCGCATTGAATGCTGAAATGCGTGATGAGCTACAGGAAAAGACACAATAAAGAGGTGAAGAAACCATTACTTTGCAACGTTATTTTCATAAGATAAAGGGTTGTGGGCAAGATGCATTGTGCATGCTATATGGATACAAAATACCAGGGTATATAGGTAATGCACACTGCACAGTGCACATAACTACGAGGGTGTGTTTACATGATACCGCTGGGAAATTTAGTATTAGGTACTAGGGTGTCTCGAAAGTGGGGTCAAAAAAATTAATTCACTTCCTATAGGAAAAACCACTTGCATCTAGCCTTATTATGACATGAAATGATGATTAAAAAAATTTCATTTAATGTTAAGAACCAGCGCACCTCGTCTATCGTAACCCTTTCCTGACAATTTCAGGCGTTGCAGTCTCCGTAGGCTTTCTTCGGTGTTATTTTCACGTAAACCGTATAAATGCGTTCTCGCTTCAGCTTGCGATCTTTCAACGAATCAATACATTTGTTGCATAAACATTTACTAAAACACTTTCCTAGCGCAACATATCCAAGAATTGCTACCTGAGTGATACTCATCCTGCTGACAGTAGGGGAGAGTGGTGCAGGAGGCCCCCCCTTAAGCTCAGTTACTATTTTTAGACAACTGATAATATTTAAGCGCTAACGTGTGCATGCGCTGGCCGCTGTGAGCATGCATCATTTTCCCATACATATTTGCATTCAAAATGAATCTAGGGGGTACACAAACCGTAAACTTTAACATTTTGGAAAAAGTTGCAAAAGGGCCTCTTACACTATGGGTATGGTAAGACGCCCCCCCCCCCTCGGGCGTTTTAAAAGTCAAGTCGACTCAAGGCTATAGAACTCCAGGTAAGGACACCAGCCGTTTGACCTTGAACGCCGCCGGCCGGCCGATGACGTCATTGGAGGCAAGCCGGCTCGGCGGACACACAAGGCGAATGCATAACGGAGGGGCGTTGGAACGTTGCGGGAGCCGGGGAGATATTTTAATGTGGTTGTATACCACCATTGTTATGTTTATTGATCTACAGACTGCATTCTTTTAAACCTCGATGCACTCTAGGCCTGGATGGTTCGTACATTCGTGGAACGATCACCCCGTCCGAAGTCCGTGGTCGAAGCTGTCATAGTATTAAAGACACTAAGACGGGTGCAATAACGGCGATCCGATCCCGTCTCTGGCGAATCTAGAGGGGTCGTAAGGACCCAGGCCGAATCTGACCGTCTATTTTTAGGGAAACGGGGTGGGTGAATTGACAACCGATGGCTTAAGAGATAATGAGAAGAGATCCCGTCGTCGATTGTTGTTTGACAGACAACACATGTTGTACTGGACGTATGACCATCAGAGGTAATGCCTGAACGTAGGCAAGCATAATTGTTCTGTCATACTGTTTAGGAATATAAAATGGTAATGGAGATTATTGAGGATATGATCTCTACATTACAGGAATTCGCTAATTACTACGGCCCATAGGGGCACCGCCGGAGCTGTTGTTTTGCCATCGGTCCCAGGCAACTCCAGGGAGCTGCAGTACCCGGCGGCCAAAGCGGCCCACCTCGTCGACTCGCAGGTCCTGTGGGATTCCGTGATGCTTTAGTGCTTCACCCACAGAAGCACGGGCATAGCAGTAGGATGTGGGGCTAGGTGTCTGTCCACCTCTTCATTGAAAGAACAACGTATACAGCGCCTGGTCCCGCCGAAGCTCGGTATCGACCGTGACTTATTCACAACTGGCGGATCCAGGAAGCGGTCTTGGACACTGCGGGGGCTTACCCCAAAAAAGGTTTCTCGGAATTAATTAAAAAAAAACTCTGATTTCGATTCCTTGCGCACTGCTGTGAAGTGTGATTAACCAACATTTCCTCAGAAAAGTTGTGAAGTTTTCTTTGATTCTCGAAAAGCGATTTCGGGCGCTGCCAATGTGGGGGAAGACATTTGCCCCAAATGCCTCCCCCTGGATCCGCCAGTGGGTTGCCCCACTCCGAGCTTGACTAAAACCATTTTCAAACCCCACCAGAAACCGATGGTATGGTGAATTTAAATCCAATAACTCATCTCTGTCTGCCCGCCTAAATATGTATACAACACATGGTACGGCACCCGGCCCTGTCTGAGCTATGAGCCGATCGCGATATTTTCGGCTTTCCCCAACCCAAGCTCGATTAGGAACGTTCTCCTTCCCCACCAGATTGCTGATGTCAATTCAAATTCAATACCTCATCTCTGTCGGCCCGACCATAACCCATTCATTGCACACCGTTCAGCGCCCCGCCCCGCCAGAAGTATCCTAGCGCGCTGAGCAGTTGCCTCCAGCCGCGTCATCGCGAGGCCCCGCGCGGCCCATAAATTAATACATTGCGCGAATAGCCGTGTCGCCCCCCTGAGTCGACTTGTAAAAGACGCTTTGCGAACACAGCTGCAAGGCCTTTCATTTCGAAAAGCTAAGCAAATACGGTGTTATCGAAACCAATAACACTTCCAAAGCGCTCGAACAATGCGAAAACTAGCACAACCAAACGCTGATGCATATTTACGTCTGGACAACGAGTTGCGGGGAAAAGTGCTGATTGTGTTGGAGTTTTAGGAGCCGGTGATTAGGCTGGATTTTTGGTTTTTTTTTCGTTCCGATTCTTGTATTTCATAGTGTTTGGCTTTTGAATATTTTAGTTCTTTTAGATAAATATTACTTGCCTTACAACTTTTGTAAAAACGTTTCATTTTTTTATAAGCCGATGTTCAGAGATGGTTCAGAGTCCTAAAAATACATCAGCACTATAATCATTGTAAACAAACAAATGGAGCACCACTTGGCTCTGTTCCAAGGCCATTTTTCTAGTTTATCTGGTGGTTTTCTTGCTCTTGTACGTCGTTTTGTTGGATATTTTGAATCCCTGAAGATTGACTTATATCATATTTAAGGCGCATGTTGACTGAAAACAATCTGAAGTATCCAGGAGGCTGACAGAGGTCCTGACTCCTGAGCAATCTCAATATCAAGTTGAACAAGTTATGAAATTTTGGTTGATAAACGCAAGTTGATCGGGCTCATATATCAGCAAGAAAAGGTAAAAATTAAAAGAGCTTATTGGCCAAAAACAAGCTATAATATTGCAGACCTTGGAGCAATACTGAAGAGCACGCTGAGCAGGATCATGCCAGAAAATGTTGACTGATGAGTGCATATTGATGTATTGGTATGAATATTGAATGATAACTTACAACAGCAAGATAAATTAGTGCTAACTATCAAGTTAAAATCTAGAATGAATGGACTTGGGCAGTTTTACTATGCTTAGATGCTATGCAGGTTGTAATGTGCATCAGGTACTCAGTGTCTGGCAAATGAAACATGCGATCATTTCATTGCTACTGGAGGAGAAATCTTGGATCACTAAACCCACTTTCTGTTGATTTTGATGTTAATCATCATCACTGTATTTCTTGAAAAAAGGATTGTAGTAAAATTGTCAATGTGACAATCCATGCAACGATGTGAAATGTGTTCATAGTCATTCGTGATAGTGATTATTGGTCCAATATACAATGGCAAAGCTCTCAGTCTCAGCGTTTCTTCCTGTGGATGGCCAGCAGTGGCTCAGAGCTTAGAAGTATTAGTTTTCTTCACAGGGCTGGGATAAAAAGTACTGAGGGTAATCTTCCACCAAGGAACTCTACTTTGACATGGTATGAGATGTAGGCACAAGTAGGTAGGTGCTCATTTCCTATAGTCAGTAGTTGTGTATGTTTAGTTGGGTTAGCTTAGATTAGATTGTTAGTTTTTTAATTTACCTAATGTCCATAAAAATGTGACCTGAGCAATGAGCATACCTGACTAACCTGACAGCTGACCTAACCTCAATCATCACACATATTTGCAGTCTACCCAAGACCTGCATGGCAGTAGCACCCAGTTATAGGTAGGTACTCACCCTAACTCAATCTTACCTGCTAACCTTCAACTTGCCAAAAGTTGCCAAAAGTTAGCTCACATTGCCAAGCTGCATCCAGGGAAACAGTCAACTGAGGAACTGGCTCATTGGGTGGCTGGTGTGAGTCTGTGCATTTAAAGTGTTTCTTCCCTGAAGCTGCTCTGCACTGCTGTATGTCATGTTAGTAGATGCTCAGAAAATGTGGGAAATGATTACTAAGCTACTTCAGTGCTTTGTTAATGCTCGAGACATAAACAAGTACAGTTCCTGCAAGGTACAGCTATGAGTTAGGTGCTAGGTGAGTATATTATGTGAATGTGCTGTTCCCTGTTTGACCGTAAGTATACAAACAAGCACAGGGTCACAGTTATATTCAATCTCCACATAAACATACAACAAAAACGGCCATATAGCCTAACTCCGAACACACCACAGATAACTTAAGCCTTTGCAGGCACAAAAATGTTTTAATTAACAGGACAGGTATACAATATATCCTCTGTCCTTCGGGGATCTTCCTGCCAAGTTGCGGTACGATGACTGAACTTCAGGATTGATCAACCTTTTCTTAGCCACTGCTTATATACGAGCAAGACCAAATGCTTGTTTTGATTTACAGGACATGTATACAATATATCCTCCGTCCTTGGGGGATCTTGCTGCCAAGTTGAGGTACGATGACTGAACTTCAGGATTGATCAACCTTTTCTTAGCCACTGCTTATAAACGAGAAAGACCAAATGCTTGTTTGTAAACTGCGTTGAAAATTTAATGATCCACCTTCAATTCCAATTCTGACATGAAGGCACAAATGAAATAGTTCCCTCTCCTTTTGGAATACACAAAGCAAAATATTTAATAAATTTTAGTGGATGGGCAAGAGCAATTAGCATAGCTTTCCCTCAAGTTAACTTCTGGCACTGGTGATCAAGGCCCTCTGATGATGACGCTTATTCGCTTCATATTTTGTAACAAACGCGCTAAAACTGCAATATAACAGCACTAAATGCTTCTTGACAAAATGCAATAGTAGTAAAAATTTAGCCCTGATGGCATTCATTCTTGGTGGAAACGTAATTACAAAATATTTTGTAGTAACTATTAAATTCTGGCCCGAAACAGTGCAGGGTTAAAAAAAGAATCATTCCAATGACGGTCCATTCTTGCGGTCCTGAAATCGCTACTATTTCCGGCCTCTCCAACGCAACTCGTTGTCCAGACGTAAATATGCAACGCTGATGACCAACGAAAATTGTACCTATAACCTCTAAGAAAAGAAACAGAAAAAAGAAACAAAAACAAACTCCTTGAAAAAAGAATGCCATGCCTGCCGCAGGTGCAGGCGTTTTAGCATCGGGGGCGTTTTTTTATCGGGGGGCGTTTTATCATCCTCGAAGGGAGGGCCTCTTAAAAAAATACAGTGTTTTAACGTCCACAATATTTATGGTTTATGAGACATTTGCAGCGCACCAGAACATGGTCTATTCTGAAGCTAACATGTGACAATTTCGATGAGAAAAGATTGCATTTGTATAGCCATTGTTTTTTCAGATATATAAGGGTGATAAAGATGCATATATCTAGCAAGTAAAGGGGCAAAAACAGAAACAGGCTTACCAAAAGTCGCTGCGACGCACCTGATACCTCAGGTTTCGTGTGTTGTTGTTTCAAGAGAGCTTCTGCTTTACAAGAACATTAAAAAATAAATAACATTATTGGTTTGGTAAAAAAAGCGATGGGGCCTCTTACCCGGCCCCCGCCGAAGTTAGTTGGTAGCACTGCTGCTCCACGGCGTACATTTCCTACCAGCCCATAGGGTTTACATGTTAAATGGCCTGTTTTCGGCGAGCGATATCTCGGTCAACCTTTGAAGGAATCAATGGTTCTTAGTCTCAAATGATAGATCGATGAATTTTCTTTCGACAATTCCTCTACCATTTTTCACGAAACCCAGCCGATCTTCTACGGCGTACAGGGTAAAGATTTCTCTGCACGCCAGCACCCACGATCCGCCTCTCCGATCGTCGGCGCGCGGTCCTCGGTAGCGCAGTCGGTAGCGTATCGGGCTACGGATCCGAGGGTCGTGAGTTCGAATCCTGGCAGCGCCGCGTGATTTTGCCTAGAATTGAATGATTTAGATTCTTGAATGTTTGCATTATCAATTATTAATAGCTAATTGAATGTATCTGCCCACTTATCGGCCCCTAGAACCTGTTATTTAAGAAATTTAAGAAATGAATGTCACGTGCGCGTCATGACTGTCAACCACAAACGCTACCATATTCTAGTTTCAACTAACTTTTTGCTAGTCCCGACCACATATAGTAGGTTTTCTAGTAGTTATACTAGAAATTCCTACCAAAGTTCGTCCTACCCTTCACTCAATATACCCTGCTCTTACCGACCCTGGGCGTAATGACATGATGTGGAGATGGAATTAAATTGATGAAATACTAGGACTAATGCCAACACACATGATATACGGCGTTTTCTGCGTTTCTGTCTTGCTCTTGAGCGCACTCCATTCCAATTTTTTTGTCCGGATAAGTGGGAGGTCGAGCCTTGAGTTCGCGCGGCTGACATTGATATCGGCCGTCATGGCCGACACGCTTCTGCGACACTCTTCTGCGCTAGCAGCATTCCTCTGCTTCAGGAATCGTCGGAGAACATCGCTTCTCCACGGAAGCTGCGTGCGAGGAAGACTAGCGGATCCAGATTTGCGTTTTTTTTTTTTTGGGGGGGGGGGCAACTCATGTAGGAGCCAAACCTAGCGTACTCCCAAATCCTATTTTCTCATCGGATTTAGGCCACTTATTTTTCGTCACAGCCCTGACACGATGAACATTTTTTTTACCTAAAAAGAAAAAAATATAGAAATGGTAACCCACCCGACCCATGCCTTTATATCACTTTATATAAACACTTCACATTGCTTTTGTCGACCAGTTAACCCGCTCCGGGTCGGTGCTTGGCGCAACCTTTGCGGGCCGGGAGGTGGTAAAACACCCCCTGTTTAACTCGGCTCCTGGGCCACGCACTGATTGAACTATGAATTTCATTATCGTTTGGGGGGGGGGGGGGCAAACAGGCCACTTTAGGCCTTTGAGGGGGCATAGCCCTAAATGTCCCCTCCCTGCAGATCCGCCAGTGTAAGAGACCATTGGAGCTGGAGAAAGCTCTGCTGGGTGGACATTCAGGACCGGGACCACGGTCCGGTTACGGGTACTTGGACCGGGCTTTGCCATGGCCTGAGAATGAATGAGGAACTTCACCACCAATGCATACATCGACAGTCGACACCATCACGAGAGTTCAATCAACACTGGTGGCCGCAGCCCCTCGAGGTGAAACTCACCAAGCCTCCAGGCGGCAGCGGGCGTCGTTCTCGTCCTCGCCAAGTGGCAAGTAGGCTCTGGACACGAGACGGCTCACAATTGTGGCTTGGGTACTATGATTATGGTTAGAGCAGAAAAAAAGTTATCACTGTGCTGCTGCCGCGGTCGGGCTCGAGGGGCTCGAGTGTCGACTAGGCGTGTGTGGCGCTAGCGTGTCTGGTTCGAGTTCCGACTGAGATTATGGGCTGGTGCCGGACGTGGTTTGTCCAGAGTTTAGCTGCGCTGAAGCGAAGGTCGCATTACAGGCGTGACTTTAAAAAGTGTATCGACAACGTCTACACTAAATAAAGTCAATTAACTACCGACCTAAAACTACGCTTAAACTCTTCACCCACGAACTCTGCCTAACCACCGTATTATTAGTGCCACTAACACCAAGCAAAACCAATGGAGACTGCAACGCCCGAAAAGTAGGTGCAAGCTTTAGGAAATCGCGACTGCGCTTGTTGAAGACAATGGCTCATAATTTTTTAATTGCGATTTTCGAAACCAGCAGACTCGATTGCAAATGCTTTGGGCTATAGGCATGTCAGCTTTATTTTTCGAGACACCCTATTAGGTACGGCTATGATGGGTCTGGTGTGCGTGGTTATCACTACATTATGCAGTTTAAACGAGAGGGGTTCAGGGTGCGAACATTTACGATGGTGACGGTACGTCTTGCGGGAACATCTAACACATTACGGTACACTTATGCAGGGAAACGAAGTACCATTACGATATCCATAGCATTATACGTCAAACATACCACGGCAAAGAGGGCACGTCAAGCCAACCTCAGCCTCATGAAGTCAACCATCGGAGGCAGGAGGCTAGACAACCATTAACCTCAGTGGATAGAACAGAGAAGGTGAGACGGTCATCACGAACATCCACGAGTCTACGGGTGATGACAAGTAACAAGTCAACAGAGCTGGAAGGCCGATGGTTCGAAGTTAATCAGGCTGGAACACTGCGCTGATGGGGCGACATCAATGCAGGACCTGAACATGTAAACCAGACCGCTGTGGTGCGCTGGAGGAAAAGCTGGTGGTTAAACATCACACACAAACACAACACATCACCCGAACAATCGTGCAGTGACGGAGGCGACGGAGACGATTACTCGCGACGACAACTATAGGCACCTTCTCTGCCAGGCTCTCCTGGCTGGCCTGTCGGGCGGCTCGCGCTCGGCCGGGGCTGCCGACCAACAGGTCAAACATGGAGCCCGCCTGGGAGCTTTGGCGAGGTGTCAGTGGCGGTACGGGAAGCGGTGAGCTGCAGCTGCCGACGCTGCGACTCGGTGTTGGAGAGCGAGGCGGTACCTGTCAACCACGCCCAGCTGTGCTCAGGAGTTCGGGGTGGAGACTGGAGAGAGCTTGTGTTCGATGCTTGGAAGATCAGGTCAAGTCACGTCAAGTCAGGTCAGGTGTTTAGATAGTTGGGGTGAAGTGGGGTTGGTGCCCAGTCTAGATAGATCTCAGAATGTCGGGTCTGCATTAGGCCTGTGATGCTAATTGCTAAGACGTTCGGGGCCTGAGACGGAGCTGAAGGTCACATGCTTGGATCTGGCGAGGGGCTAGTACTCAGAATACTCGTATTAGGGCCATAATGTCACCTCCCCGGCCAGGCGGGGGATGTGTTCAGGCGATCTGGCTGGGGTTGCTGGTGCTCAGAGGTCAAGCCAAGTCCGCAACGGGGCTGGTACTCAGACGGACATGGTACAACGAGTTCGGTGCTCAGACAGTGAGGGTTTGAGTTGACGGGCTGGTGTGTCGTCGGTTCGTCGGGATTTATTGAGGCGCAGCGGCACACTGGATGGTCCTACGAGACGCTGTGGTTCGTTTATTGACACAGATGAACAAAAGTTGTGAAACAGCCTCGGACAAGACAAGACGATTTTGCTTTCAACGGGTCTCCTTTATGATATGTGACTGAACTTTGTCGCCGAAAGGAGAACGGTAACAATTGTTCAACCTCATTTAAGAATGAAAGAAAGACTTTCTGGCCTACAGCCCCACTGTCACCAAAAGTTATCCATGCAGTTTCATAACTGCAACCATAATTACCGTCACCTTAATTATTTAACAACCGGAAACTGAACCATTCTACAAAAGCGGCTGCCGGTTAGGTTAAGTTATGCTGTTAGATCACTAAACCAACCATGAGAATCACCTCAGCACCTCAGCAGCCATCCCAATCCCTCCGGCAGTCTCACTCACCGCCGCTGAAGTGGAGAGCCGCGGCGGCCGGCCGGGCGGCGGCTCCGAGCTGAGCGTGTTGGAGCTGGCACACGAGGAGAGCGACGGTGTCGGACTGTGACGGCGCGTGGACACCACGGTGCGCGGAGAGGTGGCGATCGAAGCCGTGTCAGAGTCCATGGAGAGCGAGTCCAGACGGTCCTGGGCAGAGGTGGTTCGTCAGTGTTATACAGGGGTGAGAGAAGTTGGGGGAATAAGGCGAGTCCACACGGTCCTGGGGAGGAGGTTTGTCAGTGTTATTCAGGATGTAGGAACTAGGAAGTTGTGGGATAAGGCGAGTCCTAAGGGGATAAGGGGAGGCGAGGATGAGGGGATAAGGTCATGATTTGGGACCAAAAAGGGTCCAAGTGGCATGGCATCACTCTCGAGAATGTTAAATCAGTGACATCAGTGACAGACGACAGTGACAGTAAACTGAACTAGTGAATGTAATTGAGTTCAGACTCCGAATTCTAAAACAAATAAGTTCATGAGAAGTTATTAAATAATGATGCTGCAGTCAAATAAATGAAATTATTCATTGATCATGAAGCATAATAAACATAACCAACCGGAAAAATAAAGGCAATAGAAGGGCCCAACAGGATGTAAGTAACTTAGCATAAGTTGCGCCCAAAAAAAAGACATCTCTGTGCCAGTTTTAATGACATCCAAAGGTAAAGCATGAGAAACATTCACTCATACGCACAACAAAACGGGCGAACAAATGAATAAAATAAACACACACTCACATCATCATCATCACCCACGAGCCGCACTCACCACGGCGTCCGTGCGCGTGGGATACACGTGCCGCTCTTCGTGGGGGTCCTCGGCGACTCCGCGGCCGTCCTCGCCGTCCTGAGAGGACAGTGAGGACCGTGTGGAGGACGTATCAGAGGACTGATGTGCCGAGTCAGAGGAGGCGGGCACCAGGAGAGTGGACGGCGGTGTGTAGACAGACTTTGTGTCGATGCCGCTGAGCAGGCCGCCCGATGGTGGCTCCAGCAGCGCTGTGGAATAAAAAAGAGCAAATAGACAAGGAAGGGGTTAGGTGTGGTTGTTTCACAGATAATGTATGTGGAAGAAGTGGAGAGACATTAGGTCAACGGTCAACTTGAGAAAAAATATACTGATATTACGTGTCGCTAGACCAATATGGACTGCAATTATGTGGTTATTCGACACCGTAATGCTCGATGAGAGGGTGCAAGTAGGTGGGCAAGCTGATATGAGTTGAAAGGTGCTGGACTCAGTCGCGCTTGGAAACAAAGCCCCAATCAGTCTCTGCACCGCAACCATGGCACGTACATGTAAGCCTACCGAGAACCCGGACAGTTCTGAGTAAGTAATCCCACACCGCGTCGGATCACAGGAATCGGCCCAGATATAGCTCTGTTCCCGGCGTTAGCTCTCCTACGCACCACCCACACATCATAACCGTCCCATCCTCCTCTATCCTTCCCCCTCCCGCCTCACCTGGTGACAGGTCAGAGAGCTGCATCTCGGACACAAAGTCGCTCAGAGACGAGAACGAACTGCCCGAGGAGGGGGCTCCGTCCGAGTCCGATCCCGACTCGTCAGTGGGCACACTTTCCGACTGGTCTGCGGCGCGCAGGGCGGCACCCAGACCGCTGGCAGGCCGGCTCACAGCGAACTGAATCGGCTCCAACTGGTGCGCGTACCACTTGGGCTTGTCGCCTGCGAAGGCAGGGAAGGAAGGAGGAAAAGAGGTCAGATAGTTCGGAGATTCTGATGAATAGCCCAGCATTCATATGAATTAACTTACAAAATAATGAGTACCTACCGCCACGCAGAACAAATACATGACAGGCTATTCTCTCCTCTTTCCCTATCAATCTCTATACCCCCTCTCTCTCGTCTGTCTTTTTTTTACGTCACCGCCCTACAGAAAGAGCCCCATTCCGTATAAAAAATATCGCGCTTACCTTGGAAGGTCAACGTGTAATGCCGGGTTCCCACTACGACCGTTCAACATCGTAAAGTGAAATAACGGGAGAAAACCGGCAAGATCGGCAAAATCACAGCATGCATTTTTACGATCTCTGCCGGTGGTGGTGGGAACCGGGTATTTGACACGTGTTTTCGGATGGAGACATTTGTAAGGTTTTGAAAGTTTGCTCCCCGTGTTGGTTGGTTGGTGAGGTCGGTGAGGTCGCCAAAAAGTTGAACAGTGTTCAACTTTTTGAACGTTCTTGAAGGTTTGTGCAGATATTAAATGACACTAATAAGCATTTTTAGGCAGTGCATAGAGCAGGAAGCCCTTTTTGGGAAGTTTCTTGATATTCAAAGTGAGAAGACAAGCAGCAAGGCATGAAAGGTGGTGCATTTTTTGCGGATAAAGGCTATATAACTCTAATTATATACATATGCAGATGTAGGCGAGCGCTAAGTGGCGGTAAATAACAACTTTTCGGCAGGTTTACCGTAGGTCTAGTGCAATTTATTCATTTACCTACCATCAGCGCCTGGAAAATAAGAATCTTACAAATAATGTCATGCCACTGCAAATGCGGCGCAAATAACAAACGTTTATTTACATCATCTAACAGTGATACATAGCTGTAGCAGCACTTGCTCTTGTGAAACTAAAGGCAGAGTTTCCGACAATCGTGGCCACCGGCGTCGTCGCTCACTTATGACCTCAAACGGGCGGCCACTCCTCGTTCAACACACGCAGCTTCCGCCGTCGGATCGTCACTGAGGGCCTCATTCGAGGCTCAAACAATCAGTGTCTTCTGGATCAAGGCTATCTGGACCGCGCCATGTGATTGGGACGACCACATGCGAAGCATGTGATTGTCATTGGGCTGTCTGGTCCTTGTTATGCACATCGCATGCGACTCTTGAGCGAATGATCCTCGCTATGTCAGAACAGGTGCGACTTGCACTTCATCTCCCTCTTTTCGTAGCACCGCTCCGGAACTCAGAATCTCGGAGATAGATAAAGTAGCCACCCGGTTGCGCGCCAGCTACCAAGAGTTGCATCGTAGATTCAGGTAGACAGGCTTGGGATCTCAAACGCCTAGGCCAAGCTCTCCTCTGGAAGACCGCTGCATTGTAATGCCACGCCACACTGCAGAGTCAGACAAACGTCGACAGTTGCCACCATCTGCTGTGAACCGTTGTGCTCGAATACACTCGTTTATCTTCATTGAGCACACGGTCAGTTTCCTTGCTGAACTCATAAGTGTTTCTCGTCTGTTCAGTTGATATTAGTATAATTGTCTTTATACAATTCTAGCATCGCCTGACGAGATGGCGTAGTCACATGATGATGGTGACATGAGCTGTGACACTGCTGTAAGTTGGAATGCCGGCTCCATATACTTGTACTCGTATACCTAAATCGCTGAACCTGTGTCGGCAAGTTCAGTTGCATTGCAGCCTGCTTCAACTAACTAGATGTTTTATCGAGGATTGCCACAATAAACTGTTAAGAAATCATCGGAACTTGCAATTTATCGGTTACAGCTTCTCGAAGGTATTCACAGCAAAACCACAATGAGTTATATCAACTGCACACATTTTCTCTTCAAAAGTCAATAGGTTGTCGTTATCACAGCTGTGAATGCTTTTCGTTGACATTGTTGATCGATTTTCTCATGCTCGCGTACTTTCAACACGCTGATAACTTTTAAGTTTTTCTAATTTTATCATTCATTCAGTTGCATGGGATCTTTTACCACGTCAACTACCTATATTCTGAACTTTTTTTTACAATAGCTTATTGTGCCGATCCCTCCTTCATCATCGCTCCTCTCAACCGGCTTTGTCCAAGCCGTTTGCCGATGTCTCACGATGTTTCCCCATCTTGCCCCGTATACCAGATCTAGGGAAGTGTTCAACTTTTTTAGAAAAGTCTCTAGATCAACGATCTCGTCCGTTTTCTCCCGTTCTTGCAATTTACGATGTTGAACGGTCGTAGTGGGAACGCGGCCTAAGTCAATATACCCTGGGTCAACGTTCGTGTGAATAGCAAATTAATAATAAAACTTCCTCATCAAACGACCAGCGCGACAGGACTATTGTCGGTACTTCCCAGTGGGGAACTCACCAATCAGCGTGGGGTCGTACACGCCCGTCTGGACTCGCTGGAAGGCTGCATTTGTCGGCGACAGCGCCCACTCGGCTAGGTATTCCACCGCCTGTCGAAGGAGGGGGCCGGAGAGGGCTTGTTAGAATACCAGTCATCAAAGTGAAGGCTGATCTGCTGTCGATCTCGACATTATCACAAGGCATGACAGTCTGCGGCAATATGATGAATGTCACGGGATAAGATCAGTCAGAGATGTGTGATAGTTATGGTTGGGTACCTAATGGGTAATGGTGGCTGGTTTGCAATAAATGATGCGTAAACACATTATGCTATATATGCTTTTTATGTCTATAGCTTATAGGTATTTCTTCTATATTTCCGCAGTTTATCAAATAAATGCTTTGTGTGACTTACATTATCGACGCAAGGAAAGATACCTAGTTTACTTAGCATCCGTCAATGCACATTACATCAAGAATGTAAGCGATCATAGATGGCACATGCACCTCCTTATCTTGATAAGAAAGAAAATGTCTTCCGAGTTATTATAGCTGCATCTACCGAGACTCCCGACAGTTCCCGACATATTCCCCGGTTACTGGAAATGTGTTCGCTATGACGGATAATCACACCGCAGAGTCTCGTCCCACTTGAACTGCCAGCATTCCACGGCACTTCCCGTCAGCCAGCTCAGCACGATCGCATTTCAGTCCGATTCTACGGCTGCCATAAAATGCAAAGCATCCTATGAATGTGCGATAACACGGCAGTGCCGCCGGCTTAATAAATCGTTCCGGCACATCCGAGTGATTTTATTGCCGGAACTGGCATTCACGATGGGCCAGCGAAAACTAAGATGAAGGAGAACGCCACGTTTGGATTTCAAACACGCATTGGTTCGATGAGTTCTGATAAGTTTCTAGTGGCGCGGCCTTTGGGGCGGCTGGGTGTGGGTTAGAGATCAGTACGTCGAGCTACAGACCTGGGTCCTGGCCAGTTGGCCGAGGAAGGGACTGGTCGTGGGCCTCGAGCGCAGGAACGAGTTGATCTGGAAGGCCACCACCGGCCGAGGGTACAGCCGCAGTGTACGCGTGTGCTCCGTGAAGTTGGCCAGCAGGTTCTGCGAGCTGAAGAAACGAATCTGCGGGCGAGAGACGTCATTACAGCGACAATCTTTAAACAGAAGACAAACAGGCGTTCATTAACTTTGTCGTATAAAAACGGCCTATGCCCTATCTAACGCAACTTCTTGCTCGAGTTTTCCCTATGCATACAAGGAACCGCCAACCGGCCATTACTTGCTTCGCAGAAAAGTGCGTCGTACCTATCTTTTATTCACCCGAACCCACCCTATCATTGTCCCATAAATAACCAATACCGCCCACACCCCCGTCACGTTCACGTTCACCGTCTGCGAAAGACACCTATGTGTCTCATTCACATCATTTCCATAAATTCCTCCGACCAATATCTCTCCAACATTGGCCGTAGATAACGACACAATCCCGCCTGCCACACACCGCGCGACGCGACGATCGTTACCATGGCAACCCGCGTGGCGACGTCGACGCTATCGACGTCATTGCCGTAGATGAGTGGGTTGTAACCGGTAGTGGCGACTGACGGCCGGCGAGGCTCGGGCACCGGTCTCTCGCCCGGCCTCAGGGGAGGCGGGATCGCCATGCTGTTCAGCGCCTGTCGGGAGGGGGACGGGGGAGGGTCAAGCTTGGGTGGAAACAGGCGGTGAGCGATGGTGTTCAGGCGTTCCGTTCTATTTTTAGCGTGCTCCTGGGTGGTATTTGACAAGAATGATTGCCGTTATTTCTTTCGATGGGATAGCGGATGTTGCCAAGCACCATATTTTGGTCAGCCAGCCAAGGCGATAAAGGCGGGTTCCGGATCACATGGGGTACAATGAGAGATATCTCTACGATAACAAGGCAAAGGCAATCAATGGATTACTGAAAGATGATAAATCCAACATATGGATCAAGCCCAGTAGGTGATGTCTTTGCCCTTTGGGTTTTAGTAACCCTGACAAGTAATTAGGTACCATTTCACCAATCAATGTCAAAAGGTAGTCCATCGGCACCGATATTACTTTTATCTATACGAGTAACTGATCATGCAATTAATTCGACAACTTAGGTGGAGCTAGGACTATTCACGGCTATGTTTATCTTTCAAACATTCCCGACCATTTCGGGTCCAAACATGTTTTCTGACTTCTCAACCTTTACGAATACTAACGTGCGAAACATTGTCATTCTCGTCAGTCGGCATCATCATTGGAAACTGAAGAATCTGTCAAAAGAAAAAAAACATACAAGGCCATGCTTAATGCATACATCGTAAAGTTCGCAAGCATATACACTACATAGGTTGTCTAGCAAAGGAAAACACAGAAAATCGCACGCGGCGGCAACAAATGACTCGACATTTATCACCTGCAGACGAAACGACTTCGGTTGAAAGCATGCCTACACAACGTACGGCAAAAATGACATCGCATTTCTGGCAAGCTACGATGCATTGCATAGTGTGCGCTATCCGAACTGAGACAGGATATCGTGACACGAAACCATTAACTAATGCATCGTGACAGACCGCGAACGGTAAAAGCGATATGCGAGCGTTGTAGGTAGGTATGGTATAATTACCTTATTTGTTAGGTCGGCAGCCTGACATGAAGTGAGGAAGCATAGAAGAGAAAAGAGACATGTAGATAGAAAAATGGAAGAAACGAGCAAGGCTTTGGCAAGATAATTCGAAATAGCAGCGCAGAGACCGACATCCTTCAACATAATCAAGCGCACCGCATTAAATGGCTTGAATGGCTTATGACAAATAAATACAACAAATAAATGCGCGAAAACGCGAGTGACGGCTGAAATAGGCATCTCACAAGAACAACGCGCTTATAAATGGATAGCAAACAACGTTAGTTAGAAGCGCACAATCATAAATTATTAATTAATAAAGTCGAAAGGAAAACTCAAAGGTAGCCGTTAAGTGTTGTGCTGAAAGTGAAAAGAACACCAAGTGACGTATAGCAAAAATGTTTTTCCCATGGTGCTAGAAATTATCACACTGAGAAATAGCATGCCAATAGACTGCTGGCTGTGGAATAAATATATGTAATACTTATAAAAGGTATAAAGTGACTTCACATGGACTTTCCCCCCTCACCTGTCGTAGGTGGTTCTTCAGAACGGAGGTCTCCGGCTCCGGCAGCGACGGCAGCTCTTCGTGCGAGTTGGGCGGGATCACCTTGCTGCTATCGAGGTCCACCAGCCAGACATCCTCAGGCAACCTGCGGCAATATACAGGTCAGTCACTGAGCGGGGGAGCCAGGTCACTCGCAACCAGAGGTCTCCTCGGTCACCAGAGGTGTTCCCATGGGTATTCACAGCAACGGTTAGCGAGCTCGTCCCCGAAGATACATCATTCGGTAACACATTGACGGTTGGGATATCTTGCCGTCGAATATAAATCATTCGGTAACACTGCAACGGTTGGCTATATCGTCTGTAAAGATGCATCATTCGGTGACACATCGACCTTTGGGTACCTATCTTGTCCCCAAAGATAAATCATTTTCGGTAGCACAGCAACGCTCGCCTTTCTAGTCATTGTCATAAAATGGATGTCACAGTCTAACATTTACATTCAGTTGCACGTGACTCGTGTTACCGGGCAGCACATTGTGAACAATCCGAGCGCTGAAACGACGGGGGCGACGGCGACCTGCCGAAAGGGCAGCCATTCGCGAACTTTGAGACAGACGGAAGGGCAATCAATCGGCAGAAAACTTTGGGTATGGCTCTGACGGGTGACATCCGTGAGGCTCACAGAGTCTGTGGTTGAAAAGTTCCATGCACATCTGACAGACAGCCTCAACGTCACTGTGGCATTTCACTTCCATGAACTGAAGATGGGCTAACATTGAGTTATGGCATTAATGCCAGTCACGTGGCATTTCTCACATTACTGCAGAGAATTGAGACGGTTCTTGGCAAATACTTGATTCATCCGGACACTAAGTCATATTTATGAAATGCGAAGCACCATTTGAGCCTATAAGCGTTATGTAAATCACATTCCATTGAACTCATCAAAACACCACTCCGCATCACGTGCAGGTAGCGCAACCTTTCTTCCAACATCATCACGCCATTCTTGCAATCATTGCACACTTCCTTATCAATCACATTGCACCACCGAACCTCAGATGACCGTATCACTCACTGCAGCGCAAGACCTGCATTCCCACCCATCACCTCGCCTCCCCGCCCCGCCCTACGGCAATATTACTTCAACCCGCACCCGTCCCCCTGGGCACTCCCACTCGTCCCCACACCCACCTGAAGTGTCGCTTGTAGAGCAGGAAGCTGGCCGGCACTCCGATGATGTACGGAGTCGGCGCAAGCAGCAGCTGCTCCGCACAACTCATACAGGTGGGCAGCATCGGGATGACGGGGAACATGTACTCGAGCGGGTAGATGAGCGCCACGAAAGCCATCACGGACATGGTGAGCGCGTTGTAGTCGCGCGACTGGATCACCAACTGTGGAGGAGTCGGGTCACGGGTGTCGGAGGCCGAGGCCGGTCGATCGTAGGTCACCAGGTACGCGAGGAAATGACACCGACGGTGAGGCTGTTGAAAAGTTGCCAGACCGGGAGCGTCATTTCGTCGTGTAGGAGGAATGGCGGGGTGCCTGAGGCGCATGCAGTCGTTGGGAAACGTTCGTCTGGGAAACTTCCGGGGCACGTAGGGCGATGGATGAGGGACTGATGAAATAGTGGTGGTCCCGTTTGTCGCCTGTCGGATATTATCGGGAAACAGATCGCAGTTGCGAACAATAATAATGATTATAATAGACTGGATGTTCACTTGAATGTTGCAATAAAAAAACAGAGTTGGAGAGGAGGTTTTAGACAAGTTCATACAAGAAACGCAGCTTTATACAGGGATGTTCACGAAAAACTGACACATTTTAAAACGACTTTGTGAGCATGTGAGAGCTCACGGAGACTTGACTTGCATGCCATTCGAAAGCCTGTTGAAAAAAGTTTTGTATCTGCATAGCTCCTTTAGTTAGCATCACATGAGCTTCCAAATAAATAAGAAAGCGTTAAAATGGGGAAATTTGACTTGGCGACAAAACTTAAGGGAAAAACAATGAAGCTCTCGCGGCTGCCATCTGCCACCACGACTGAACCAGTCTACGAATTCGTCTAAAATTTGACATATTAATGTTTCGATGGATTATGTTTTATACTATTGGCATATTGTGGGCAAATTCCTAAGGAATGCCAAAATTGGCAGGCTTGGAAGTGCTGATGTCAGAAACCATGGCCGCATGCTGGCAGTCACTGTAGAGTGGTACCGTGCCATCTTTTAACAGCTTCTGTTAGCTACTGTAGCGGAAATGGGTCGACGTCTACACCATTTGGTGGTTCTGGCACGTCAGGGCCACCCTACGTACAGTAACGGCGATCATCGGTCTCACACGAGAACAGGGGGGAGGGGGCACTTGTCTCGCGCATCACCTCTCACCCATAGCCGGCCATTTCGCTCTACCTCAACTCCGTGGACTATTCCTGTGGGGTCACGTGAGTGACATGATCTGTAGCAGCGGCCCAAAGGACATCAAACCTCCCGACGAGTGCAGTGAGAGGTGTTGCAATTCTCCAGGCACGTGCCCAAAAACGGGGAATAATTTCCTGTTTCGGGCTGAGTCGTGCACTGCTCCAAAAACTCGTCATCTGCAAAATACGCTGTAACTTCTTAGAAACGAAAATGACATGATCCCAAAATATGTCAATACAAACTTAGAAGTCCACTCTATTTGCCCATAGCATAATCACCGTTCTGAGGGCAAGTGTTTTCTCGTAATTCGGAAATAAAATGTGTCAGTTTTTCGTGAACATCCCTGTATTTCGTAGCTAATCACACAAAATACCATTCAAATTTAATGACACACGGAAACTGGAAACGCACCGAGAATAATCTTTAAAGCAATTTTAACCTACTTTATCTGAACTCTAGGCTACTATTGCGTAGCTCCCAGGAACAGAGAAGACGCAGAATTCTGCCAAGCGGCTGGGTCACGGAGCTTTCAATGCTATTGGACAACTTGGACACTGAATTCTGAAAGTAATTTAATCACTGCTTTGAACGTCGCTTACTGGCGTGAACAACAGAGCGCACTAAAAGGTCAAGATTAACAGGTAAGCTTATGAAACTTGTGTAAGTGAACTGAGGTAGTCACAAGTTCATTCTGCGATGCGTCAACTTAAATGATGTATTCTTCGAAGATAATTTGCCTTTTTAAACACACTCGTCATGTGAATTGTCAACATTCAATCAGATTAATATAAATATTCTATTTTCCAATCTATTTCGATGGAAGCCGTCAAAGTCCATCCAGATCGTTCATGACGGCTCAATTTGCACTGCAGCTGTCGAACAACTGGCAGGTCGAACAACTGGCACTGGGCCGTCAACACCGTAAAATCGGCATCAAAGGGGATTGAGAGGCCGGAGTCACTTGTGTCGGGTCCATCGCAGTCGTGGAGTCTCGCTCCGCAGTGGACCGTGTTAGGGGGGACGATACAGGGTCGCCGGTTGCAACCACGCTGGAGTGTGTTGATAACGGAAGTGGCAATGCAGAACCGGCAATGGGACACATACCAGTTCCAGATATAAGGGCCGAGAACTGTGTCATGAGTACGATTCTGCATTTTTGTGCTACCATGTGAGCAGCGATAACATTGACATATAATTAGAGAAACCTATCGTAATAATTACCGAGATCGTGTGTGGAATGTTGGATAGTTACATATATGTCCTAGTTAATGGAAGAAAATAAGCTATGTATCTGAAAAAGCACTACAACAAAATTGATTATTAAACCCAGGCACAACGACAATCCTAAATTAACACTGCTTTGGAAGCCCTTGACTATATAAAGCTGTCTGATTTCGACGAAGGCTTATCACAAAGCCGAGGTGATTAACTATTGCATCAAATAAACTGCTAACTAAAGATGATTACATCTCTCATGACTAGGCTAATCTTGCATCCGAGTGCATCAAAATCCCCAATTAGCCTCACGTTCAACACCAATGTCTGTGGTCATTAACTTCCCGAAATAAGTTTAGAAGACTGAAATAACTGGAATGGCCCGAAGTGACGTGACCTTTTGAGGACTCAGCATTTCTCGATAACACACGCACTAGGCGCGTGCGCGCACTAGTTCAATCCAGTTCGAACAGGATCTGTCTGTCTTGTCCTCACTGGCTTCCAATAGCACACAGTAAAAACCAATACGACCACGTCATCACTGATATGATTTGACATACTCGTACCACCAGACATTCTCTTCCAGTCCACATATTCCCACTGACCTTATACTCGAGTATGATGAGCGTGAGCACCTCGAGGCACACGTCCACGCCGAGCAGCTCCAGCGGAAGGTGCAGCGGGAAGTCGATCAAGGAGAAGCGCGTGTGGTCGGGCAGGGCGAACGTCAGCGGGCGGTGCAGCTCGGGAGGAAGCAGCTCGAGCTGTGGGGACAGAGGCGGCTGACGTCAGACAAAACGGTAAAAAAGGTGGACAGACAAGAAGGCGAGCTGTATATCGAGCGAGATGCGTATCCGGGCCGGTATCACGCATGGTTGGATGACCAATGCGTGCTGTAGGTAAGGATGCACATCACTGACAACACTTTTGATAGAGTGTCTACTTAGTACTTATTGAACAAATCTATAAGTGCCGTTCATTTTTACAGTCAGGGCCAAACTAAAAGGAAATGGACTAGCGATGAAGGTCACGGATTTTTATTATTATCTTATTATGGCCTATTAACAGCAAACAATAAGCATGTAATTGATGCATGTAATTGATTGCATGTAATTGACAGCAAACAATAAGCATGTAATTGATGCATGTAATTGATTGCATGTAATAGCATGTAATCGGTACATAAATGACACGACCATTCACCATCACACATTACCTGGTAATGCAATTGAAAAGATATACGTAGTTTGTTTCATATTTGAAAATTGAAAGCAAAACTAATGGACAAACATTTAATTTCAACTGTTTGTTAATAAATCAAATCAAAACGCCCTGACGAAACGTTTGGCTTCGGAAGTCCGTCATCGCCACACAGTGCGCAGCAGGGCCTATTTCGGCGTCCAGGATGCTGTCTGGTCCGGGTCAAGTTCAAGAGCAATCTTTTAGTGACACGGCAGCGCTGGCCATCAGCTGTCGCCGCCGACCGCTGCCCCTTCGGTCAGGATTGACTGCGGTCGGTTCCCAGAAACGGGCGCGAATCGGCAACCGAACGACTGCGGCGCTAGACACTAGGGTAAGGGCGGGTAAGAGTACGCGGGCGATAAGAGTACGCATCAGCTGTTTCGGTTGCTTAGCAACGCGGGTTTGTCGAGTTCATGAAGTGACATGAAGCCGCCAGTGCGTGCATGTCACCAACGGAACATGGGCGTTGAGCGGCGACGCTGTTGAGTTTAAGGCGATGAATATTATTTTCGAGCGTTATGATGTTATTATGATATGGTACAATAATTTTGATACTTGGCAGTTGAGATAAGGTACATTTCCGTGATTGTTGTGTGAAACTTGTGAGGTTATCTGGGGAAATACTGTACACTGCAATATTCTGTTTGCGAAGTTTTGCACAACGTTTCGGGGTTGTTTTGTGCGCGAATTGCATGTACGGTAAGAGGACGCACTGTTCAGGAGGGTAAGAGTACGCAGAATTATACATTAAATCGAATATACAGAAATATAGAATTATTTATCTAACGCTCAATGACGTTTGTTTTGTAGGTATATCATCAATGGAGCACTGTGATGCAGATGCGTGCCCGAAATTCTTCCAAATACGAGTTATTCTCCTTTTTGATTGTGCATTTTTTTTTAAGAAACACACGACATGATTATTTCCTGATTTATAGACTTGAAAGATTTATTTTATGTTTTTCTTTTTGGATACTAGAATTAACTTAAATGCCTTCTGAGTTTGAAGTTAAGCATTTGGACAGTGCAAGCTGCATAGGTGTGTGTTCATATGCTTGCGTACTCCACCCGCCTGGCGTGCGTACTCTTACACACCCCATATGGTAAGAGTACGCAAGTGCAACGGTTCAGAAAATGTCATTTTTAGACCACTTCCATTTACGCTGAAGGATCGTTGCCCCATGGGTTGATGGCTAATTCAATGAACTTTAATATTCCCTATTTGTGATTTCTTTCCTTCAAATATTAAACGAATGAGAGCAAGAAATCCACTAAGTGCGTACTCTTATACGACTTCACCCTAGACAGGACAAAGGTATGGGCAAGGTTCTTACAGATATGGGCATATGGGCATAGGTGACTTCGCCCAAGGTTATAGGATATTGCTATAGCTCTGTTCACACCACATATTTATTGTACCCCTAATATACCTATCGTGAACTTTGCAAACATGCAGTAATTGAAAGACATACATGTGAAATGCCGTGTCAGTAACAAACGTATAAAAAAGCAATCACTTTACACTTAATTTTACCAGAAGGCCATTTCAACAAAGCTTTGATCCCTTCAGATAACAGGTTTTCGATGACAAAGCAAAACGCATCTTTCATTTCTCAGTTGCTTTGATGTTTCAAATAATCTAGAAGCTTTGAGCCTCACCAGGTTGCCATGGCGGTCGCCGAGAGCCGTTTGACCTACCTCGACCCTGGTTTTCCCGGGGACAGGCACGGGCGCCGACAGCAGGCGCAGGATCCAGGTCTCAATCTCTCGCACGTCGTGGAGGAGGATGGCCGGCAGCGGCTCCTGACTGCGGCCCGTCAGCACCGACCACACCGACTCCCTGTGGAAAAACGCAGGTAAATACAGATATCAATTCTCAGTGGGCACACAGACACACAAGCCCTGTAGGTAAACGGATAGAGACACATCAGACTCGGACTCCATGACTCCTTTTGGGTACACAGATGCACATACCTACAGACTCTGACTCTATGACTCTGCGGAAAAGCGCAGATGGATATAGGCAACAACTTTCAGTGGGCACATAGGCACACAAGCATTAACTCCCTGTAGTAACACTGATAGACGCATACAGACTCCGACTCAATGACTTCATGTGGGTACACAGACGCACATACAGACTCTGACTCTATGACTCCCTGTGGAAAAACGCAGATGAATACAGACATTGACTTTCAGTGGGTACACAGACACACAAGCAAACGGAAAGAGACACATATGTAGGTACAAACTCCGACTCCATGACTTCATGTGGACACAGCAAAACAAACAAGCAACGAACCTTGAATTATAGACTGAGATGCAGACTCCTATAATGACTGCTAATTACTATGCACGGTCACATAAACATTAACACCAAGATGCTAAGCCACGGCACACATGCACATGTGCGGACGCTGACTCCATGACTATTGACCTCATATGAGGGCACAGGCACTCATGTTTTCACCGACTCTACATGAACGCCGTGGACCGTACGGAGTTCGGACACACAAAATCGATACTCGTATCTCGGAGTCGATACTGAGGTTTACAAGGAACACAAACACCTGACAGCCGAAACAAATCAAAAGTGAAATTCAACCGATTAGATAATCCAAGTAGTATTGTTTTTTTATCTCGACTTTCTCCTTGTTGATAGATAGCCAGACATAGGTTACATTTGCAGTCGGGCACAGCCCATCATCAGATGTATAAGATGATTATACATCTGATGTGCCCGACTGCAAATGTAACCTATGTCTTTTAATATTTGGCTATCTATCAACAAGGAGAAGGTCGAGATAAAAAGCAATACTACTTAAATATTATGCTCCTTGTATTGTATTGTATTGTATTGTATTTACATTTAAGAGCGATCCACATACAAAGTGCGTGGCGATTACTGCTCAGAATCCGTATCCGCGGTTGCTAATCTAATCATTCAAAACAGTTGCACATTCACTCACGTCAAAACTAGGACAAAACACTCTCAGGACAGCCTCATCGCTTTTACCCACCCCTATCCTATTGGTCAGCGACGATGTGCTGATTCATCGTCCACGATTGCGGCTTTAACAGCGCGGGCGAAGCGGGCGGGAGGCAGCTGCGACAGGTGAGGTGGCAGGCTGTTCAGCAGAGCTGCAGCTCGATAGCCAAACCGCCGCTTGCCCGTTTCCAGCCGTGGACGGGGAAGATGGAAGAAGTGATCTTGTCTGGATGGTCTCTCGCGGATAGCGCTATTAGCGACGAACAGGGCTGCTAGTTGCTCAGGTTCACGGCGCTGTATGACCTTGTGTGCGATGACAAGGGTGTGGAAATCGGACATACCGCGCGGGGACAACCACCCGAGTTTTGTTCGCAGGTCGGAGACATGGTCAAATTTACGGCGGCCGAAAATAACTCTAGCGGCGAAGTTAAGAATTTTTTGGAGTCGATCGAAATTTTTTTGGGACCCATTACCATAAACTGAAAGGCAGTACTGGATACGCGATACAACGAGTGCCGTCACGAGCGTTCGAATGATGCCATCTGGGAGACAGTGGCGCGCATGTGAAAGACCAATCAACAGTCCCGTACACCGGCGGCAGAGTTCAGAGACGTGTGCGTCCCATGACATAGTGCTGTCAAAAGTGACGCCAAGGTTCCCGACTTGTGCGCACGGTTGCAACGCTGCGTTGCGGAATGGTACTCTAAAGTCTGGTAATTTACGAAGATTTTGACGAGTGCCAAATACAATAAGCTGTGTTTTACTTGCGTTCACTTTGAGGGCGTTAGCGCAAAACCAGTCGTTGAGAGACGCGAGCGAGTCCTCCATGCGCGAGATGAGAACTTCGAGGTCCCGAGCTGGACCGCTAACCAATACTTGAGTGTCATCGGCATACTGAAACACTTTTGCGTCGCCCGCGTATAGCGATAAGTTGTTAGAGAAAATGGTGAAAAGAAGCGGCCCTAACGCAGAGCCCTGGAAGACACCCATGGCATTAGAAAGAGGCCTAGACAGCACTCTACGTCCGGATACATCTTTCAAAGACACGCTCTGAGTGTGTCCATGTAGATAGGCGGCGAACCAGGAAATTTCAATGCCGTGTAACATCAGTTTTTGCATCAGAAGATCGTGGTCAATCACGTCGAAACATTTACTGAGATCGAGAAGGCATAGCATTGACAAATCCCCCCTATCAGTGGCGGCCAGGATGTGTTCAGTGACAGACAGCAACGCGGTTTCCGTGGAGTGCCGGGGGCGGAAGCCGTGCTGGGAGGATGCCAGAAGGTGATTATGGGAGAGGTAGGCGTAGAGCTGCTGATGGACAATGCGTTCAACTACTTTCATGATTACAGGAACTAGGGAAATGGGTCGGAAGTTTGCGGGGTCTGAAGGGTTACCAGACTTGAACAGAGGGTGAACTATGGAATGTTTCCATGAATCGGGGATGTCAGATTGGATTAAGCAGGTATTGATAATATGCAGGATGACACCACCAATAGCGGGGAATCCGAATTTCAGCATGCGGACACACACGTTATCGGAGCCGCAGGCACTCGAGTTACGCATGCTGAAAATAATCCGCTCGAGCTCCCCCAGTGTTATCTCACGAAGTTGAAAACTGCATGCGCCGACACGGGTGAGACGCACATCCAAATCGGTGGGAGTGTTTTGGGCTCGGATCTCGTCAGCGACACGAGGACCGACAGATACAAAAAATGAATTTAAATCATCGGCAGATAGATCGGGCTGGACGTCTGGGCCGTCCTTCTTCGCGGCTACCACTGACCTGATGCACTGCCAAAAGCAATTAGAGATTAGATAATCCGGCCATGTTCATAACCCTGTTACGCTACATAAGAGATATATGAGGATGCGAGCTGTCTGATCGATTGAATGGGATGTGTACCTATGAATACTAGTTGCTCATATAGGGGAAATTGTGTCAAGGTGAGCATGTTTCGAGAAAACGTCATAAGTATAACATTAATAACACAAAACGCTTCTTGCCATCAGTCGGTGGCGATTTTTCGGTGTATGCTCACATCCATAATAAATCAACAATTGTCCATCATTATGGGGAAATCAACCGACATAGGGTATGGCATTGGACACCCAATAATTCCCATCCATCCCGTATTAGGTACGCGAACAACCGCGCCACAGTCCACACAGCATCCCCCAATTCAACATATATCCACGAACGGTTTTAGCACACTGTAAGGTTCTCATCTAACAGGCAAATCTAACTGACGGCTGAATGAACCATTCCATTCCTATTCCGGGTTTCACGGAATCGCAACAAACGGTTGCTAAGCTGAACAGTTGAACACAGCATGAAACTAAAACAGACGTTATTGGTTTCTACGAGACTGAAGTGGAACAGACGGGACCAGCAGCCGACTACTTCCAGACACTCGTGCAATTAAACTCTGCACGACAAGCGACAAGTTGAATTAGCGTAATCTATTTTAAGGCATTTGAATCAAGGCACCCTGTTGAGGTTGAGTAAATGATTGCAAAGTATTGAATAGTACCAAATTAGTTAGCTGCTAGGTCTGATTCAGGATTTCAATTAGGAAGTTCACCTCCTTACGAATCACATTGGAGGTCAATTAATGCAAGATTGAACCGGGATAAAAATAACCCCCCTCAATGCCCTTTACATGGTATGGTAAAACTGAATAATGCTGAATGTTGAACTCGTGCTGGATAAAAATGGCACTCAGCAAACTTTCATATTGGATCGATCAGTTCAGACAAAAAAAAAACGGATTCAACACCTCAAATCTGATCGGAACTCAAAGTCGCATTTGACAAGGCACTTTGATATTGGTAAAATACCTGATTCAGCCACAGCAGATAAAGTTAGACCAGAAAGAGAAAGTGAGCATATCGATCAGGAGCTATTTGTGGTACCTATAAAGTATTCTAAGGCCACATCTTCATCGTCGTCATTATGATAATGCCAGCCCTAATCATTATGAAGCACCACGAATTCGATGGCACAGAAGGAATATTTCGGCATCGATGGGATGGCGGGTGAAGAGAGTTAACGGAAAAATTTAAACAAGAAATTGTTAAAAGCTACGACGCCTCTGAACGAAAAAGACATCTACATAGACAAGTCACAGAAAAACAACACGATAACGCTCAGAAAAGCACATATTGCAACATTTTTAATTAAAGGAGTATTCGTTTGAAATAATGCTAACATTCAAGACTTCGCTAGCTTCAACGATTGAATGAATCGAATTTATCAGTTATTTCATTTATTTCATTTAATTCATCTTCTTCGTTCATTGGCCCTCATTTAAAGTTACTTCAATCAATGTTTGCAATGCGTCTATACCTTGCTTTATATTATTCTATCATGAATTTATCATTATTTTCTGTCACTTATTAATGTATAATTATGTTATTGTTAATAGCCATTGTTGTAAATCCCTCTCTATAAGCATTCAGCCAACACCCAACCACGGAATTGAATTGGTTATACTGGCATCACCTTTGCAACTTCCTAATCGAGCACCCTCGAGGCAGAAACACTGGCGATGAGGCACTCACCTCTGGTTGCCCCGCGACGCGCCGACGCGCTTCGGCGAGGCGTTCTCGTTGCAAGCATCGATCAGCTTGCGTAGGAGGTAAAGGCACTCTCTGAATGATGAGAAGAAGGGATGGTGCGAGATGATGCACAGCGAAGTCAGAGTGTGGTGCCGGCTTCTCTGTGGAGACAAAACGGTCGGTGAGTCAGCGGGTATGTCGGCCTCCATGCTCTATGTGGTGGGTGGAAGGAGATTTGTCTCGTCGATACCAGGGGGGGGGGGCAGATAAACTTCTTGTCTAAAAAGCGCCCTAGACGGAAATCATTATCCTGAAGTTACTGCACCAGTTCTCATGATATGTTCTCAATTCCAATTCTCATTATTTCAGTGAAACGAGCTTATACGAGAACGCCTCGTATGTCCAACCCTGTAGGGCTACGTTCCGGACCAGTCAAAGCAATTTGGCGCACAGCAATTTTGCGCGTGAATTGGAGGCCATAAAGAAACAACGCTGCTATTTATCACAGCTGCACCTCTGAGGGAAGATATGGGATGAAACTTGAGCACCTTCCCGAAAGGCCTTCATATATTACCTGCCCTGTCAGCCAAATGCTTACCTACCGTAAATAGTATAAGCTTATGTAAAAACGAAATCATTGATATGTAGGATATGATTTTATACATGATTTATGCTGACATTCATATGAATTTGGTCGCTTTGACGCTGGCTAAGAGCAACTCAATGTGAATAAATATCTACCAATAACAAATAGCACATATCATCTTGGACATGGAGCGCTGGCTGACCCATCATCGCCCTACAAATGCCTGATGCAAGAGGTCAGAGATGTAACAGAGATTTGAAAACTTGTGCAGCATTGTCACACACAAAAAACATCCTATTGCGCATACCCATCACCAAACCAGCACTCCATGACCCCGCCCTTAGACCCACCACTGACCCCATGACCCGCCACTGACCGGCCTACGTCGCTGCGTCCGAGGCGAGCCGAGCGTCGGCAGCTGACCGGGCCCTCCGCCGACGGTCAGGCGAGCGGCTAGCGCCGGCGGGGCGGCCGACGGGCCACCGGAAGTCTCACTGTTCCGGCGGCTGGAGCAGTCGCGGTCCGAGTCGGAGGGGGCTACAGTCGACCGGTGGTCGCTGCAACAGAGGCGTCATGTCAGTGGGAATGTCAGTCGGCAGAGGGAGGCTCGTGGGAGGGGATGGAAATGATTGGTATGGGTTTGTAAGCAGCATGAGGTGTTCCAGAGGTGATGAGTTATTGCAGACATCCTAAGGTCATCGGTCGATCGAGAGGTTAACATGAATCCAGCCTTGAGACGCGCCACAAGGGCTTTTCCCGGACCGGAAGCCGTTCCACTCAATTTCTTGTCCATTTCAGCCCATTTACGGATGAGTGTCTGGCTCAGCCTAGACCATGAATTGTGGACACGGGCGCGTCCTTAAGAGAAAACCCCAGACAAATGTCCGTCTAGCATTAGTAGATAGCTTGCAAATTACGAAAGCGTGGGCGTTATCATAAATGTGTCAGGGCTGTAGACGGTGGCGCAGCCGTATTATCATCTTATCACCGTTCATCACCTGGCTCGTGTCTCACGGAATGTCCGAGTTCTAACGCCGGCCTCATGACACGAGGCTTGCGGTAATTCAAGTGCGGTTCATAAGGCGACATTTCAGGGGAGACTATGAAGGACTTGGCGACTGCTGTGGAGGCGTGGCGGCCTAATTCTAATTACTCGGTCGCTGGCATGGGTACTGGAATATCCGTGCTAAGGGCTGCCTGGTTTAAACACCCGTCAAGTCCAGTATGCTGCCTGAGCGTAACTAGATGGGATGTTGACTTTCACCAGTGGCTGCTAAGAGACGGTAACCTTTCACGTATGAGGAAGCTTCCAGAAATTTCATCGACCCTGTCCCTTGTCAGGAGGAGCACATTCCCGCTAGTAAGATGTTGGTGAGCACCGATGTCATCATGTCGTAACAAGTGTGCACATATTCAGGGTGAGCTTACCTTTGTAACTGCTATATAAAAGGCCGATAAAGGGATTGTAGATAATGAGCAGGGCCGCGTAATGACGCAGTATTTCGGTAAATATGTCAAAGGTTAAGCGACGTTTTATTGTTAACAAGGACTGCCATTATTCAAAGGCAGTTGCGTAGATGATGCAAATGAAAGTTCGTTACAATTAGCTATATTGACTGTTGCCTTATGCAGTATGCACACAAAGCCCCAGTTGAGAGTTTCAGCCAATGGTTGTGCAAGCTGCAACGTCCTAGCATATAATGTAAATCAAAGAATGAAAGTAACCGATGCACCATAAACAGTAATGATAGGTCATGCACATTGGACAGATTCATACACACAAACATATCGCGCACATATCCCCCAGCATTTTCTACGAAATGAAAATTAGGTACATATCGTCATGCCGAAAACAAAAGACGGAGCTCCGGCAGCAAAGACGGCCGTCGCTGCGTTGCGTGCGTCTAATTGCCACACGCGGTTTATTGCCATCGATTCACCGCACCCGCTCGCCACAGGTGGCTGATCCCACTGCGTGCCATATATGCAGGACGCTCACCCGCTGTGTACACACGGTGCCCTCCGCGGCACTTTTGCACAATGTACACCCATCCCGTGACCTCATATTGATCCCCGCTGCAGCTGTTGAGCGCCGCCACCTCTCGCCGAGCGGGTTACGCGCGCGTGCATCTGCCCCGTCGCATGGATTCCGCGAGTCGGGATCAGCACGATTAATGTACGGGGCGCTGACGGAGATGTTGTTCGGTCGCCGGCCGTCGGCTGCTAGATTGATGAGGTATCTAACGACAGGGCACTGTGTACCACTGTCCCCCATGGTCCATTCGCGATTCATTGGATTGGCGATAGACTAACGATACGGTGAGCTGAGGGCGACAGACGTTACGGCGATGGCCTGGCGTCGCACTAGCAGGGTAGCAGGTGAGCGTACGTGTGCTGAAGGATGCATACAAATGTAGGCCGATGTCGGTCGTAACGATGACAGCAGTGTGCGCAAAGCGCATATCGTTATAGCGACTTGGTGGCTGGTTGTGGAGCCATACTGTAAAGTGGCTGGTAGTTTAGGGCCAGCTTATGGACCGTAAGGATTAATTAGACGTCTTTGCCATAGAGCAACTTGAAAATTGGAGCCTCGTCCCTCATGTTTTTCAGTTTTTGCACATGCTTGCATACAGCCACCTGCATCTGCAAAAGTAGGGCATGCCTATAAAAACGACAGCAAACACACCGCCCCACATTGTCTCACCTGGAGAAGGCGGAGTCGGTGCTGCGGTTGAGGCTCTGTCTCCACGAGCTGCGTTTGGTGCTGGAGCCCCTCTCGGCCCGTCTTGCCGAGCCATGTCGCTCCACCGGCCGGTAGAAGTTGATACAGACGCCGTAGCGCGTTTTCCCTGGCGGCCCGGCGGTCGGTCAGCGCCAGCCATCGATCTCAGTACAGCGTGTTTGCGGTGGGCGCAATTGGCGGCGGCCGTGCTGGCCGGCACGGGCCGCTCATGTCGTGACGTTGGGAAAGGTTAGAGTCGCCGCCGGCGCGGCGCGTATAGCCCCTCCGCTATACGGTTCGCTCGCGTGGCGCGCAGCCGCTCGGGTCAAGTGTGGCGTGTAATTTGGTCAAGTGGCACCGCGCCGCTGGTCGGCCGAATGGATTGGCTGGTTGTGGTCCGCGCACCAGCATCTATCATGATAGCCGGCACGGCGGCCGACCACGTTCGACGGGGATGTCATTTGATTTCTGCGAAGGAGCCGCGACAGAAAACTAGATAAAGGAGATAAATGGGGGTTCTGAGAGGATACGTGAAAGAGGTCATGAGGAGAATTGTAGCACGTATTTCCAGCTTTTACAGTTATTTTCAGACGTTTCTCATGACGCAAAATTAGCCCACGCACTGAACGGGGCGGTTATCCGGCGTTGAGGGTTTTTCAGCAAAGAAATGACGACGGTGCCACCAATTTGGGACAACTATTCAGGCATTCATTGTACACATGTACTTTAATCTGTAAAATGTACAGCATTTGGCCCATCTCGTTGAAAGGAATATGATGGCTCTGGTCTCTGGATTGTTTTCATAGCGACAAAATAGCAGGCGCTGTAAAAGCGAATTGAATTATGCAAAAACAAATCATGTTTACGGTTTGCGATCTTTAAGGTTAAATGATTCACCTGAGGTTGAATCTATTGAGATAACTTGATATGTATGTACCTATGTTACACTTCGTACTTCCTACATACCAACCTACTGCGAAAAGGTTGATTTAACATCAATTTCTTTTTATCATTGTCTAGGTTTTTGCTCACGATGTGCGGCGATATCTCTTGAATAGCATTGTCAGTCTCAGTCAATGCCGCAAAAGTTGACCCTTGATGACCTCTTTGACTTCGTTTCTGCCCTGGCAATAAAAACATAACCAAAATACCTTCTATAGACATTCAAACTTTTGAATATCATTTTTATCATTGGCGCATCGACGAACGCATCAACGAGCAGACCTTCCATCGTTAGGTGGTGTCCAAAACTGGACGGTTTTCGACCCTCCGCAGACAATGAATTAGGTACAATACCAAATAAAAACGCTCCCGAAATGCGCAATGTGCATGCTTGCAGTTCTAATAAAGTAGCGATTTTATCGCAGTGCTGTCCATTCCCACGACTTAAACGGCATGCATTAGTGATTCATTTATGTGGCTTTCCCCGTTCCATTCATGGGGCTGTGAGTCACCGTACCCGCCCATAACCTAGCCTAATCCCATAACAGACCACATGACGTTTGAAATAGCCAAGCAGGGCACGTCTTTTATCAATGTGGTTGACCCGATCAATGAACCCATTCACTCGCAGGAAACGACGCTGAAAATCCCCGCCAGCGATTGCGGCTAACAATATTTAGCGGGTCCGACATTCACTGACTCGTTTCATTCACGGGGCACTGATCCCTGTCAGTCGAAAACTCGCACCGCTCTGAGGTTAGCGGCTAGCGCGGTGTGAGAATTGACTGTTCCGATCACAAAAACGTCCCGTACAGCAGGGCTGCGGAGTCGGAGTCGGAGTCGGAGTCGGAGTCGGTCGGAGTCGACAGTTGTGACCGGAGTCGGAGTCGGAGTCGGAGTCGATTTTAGAAACCCGAGCCGGAGTCGGAGTTGGAGTCACCGAAAATCTGTCGACTCCGCAGCCCTGCTAGGTCTGCGGAGTCGGAGTCGGGAGTTGGAGTCGGTCGGAGTCGACAATTCTGCCCGGAGTCGGAGTCGGAGTCGGAGCTGGTTTTTGAAAGCCGGAGTCGGAGTCGGAGTCGGAGTCGCCGAAAATCTATCGACTCCGCAGCCCTGCCGTACATACAGGTGGCTCTCCCGTGTTGGAGGCGACAGCCGACATCTGTCCGCGCGACAGCGCTGCGCCGGCATGTTTGCCGTTCTCGCCGTCTGTCTGTCACGTGACGTCAGAGAACTTGACGGATGTCAGATTTGTAAGGCAATACACATCAGGGCGCGACGTTACGGTTGTGAAAGGAACGTGTTCAGAGACGAGGTGTCGACATGTATACAGCCAAAGGTCATGAGCAGAAAGCTTTGTGGAAATGAATGATCTTGCAATGGAAGGATGAGTATTTCTTATACTCGATTTCATTAGAAATTTGTAGGCATAAATGATGACACACAACATTTATTTTCGTGCGGATGACAAAAGAAATGACGCAATGTGAAAGAAGAATGAATGAATCTGAAAACGCGAAAAGTTCGGGCCACGCCTGAAATTCAAAATAACAGCGCTGTGTAAGGCACACATTTCACCCTTCATGACTTTGTTCATGCATTATTTCCGACAGCATACCCCTATACTCCAAAATCTAGCAGAGTTTGCTGTTTGTTTAATTTCCAAATAAATATAAACAAGGTGCCCACGAACAAACGTGTTCACGAACAAGTGACGCCGAATTCTCGTGAACAAACAGAGAACTGTTCGCAAACACGGTAAAGGAGGGGGGGGGGGGGCGAAAAAGACCCCTTCTCGCCGTTTCGCCCCTAATTGAGCTAGAGCCTTCTGGAAAATCGATCGCGTGCTTCGTTACGAGATACAGCGGCTGGATACCGATTTTAAGGTCCCGGGTCAACTATTGACCTCTGAGGTCAGGTTAAGTACTTCAAGGTAGAGGCTTGGTTTTCGGTAAATAATTTCATTAAAAATGGTTGCAGAGTAGGTAGTTTGGCATCATCATGTTCATCATGGTCAGGCGCGTCGAATGATGTACTTTTTGCTTGGATGATGCCAACTTTGGATGCTGACCTCAGGTCAAGGTGATATGAAGGCCACTCCGGTCACAAATTTAGTCTGATGAGGTCATGCTGCATATCATTTGGCTTGACTGGTCTATCTCGAAAGTTATTGGTGAAAAACACCGATTGCACCATGGAGCCTTAATGACGTTTTAGATGACATCATGCAGGGTCCAAAATGCAGAATAAAGCGTCGAACCTTACAAGGAATGTAAAATATCAAGATGCCATGTGTTTGAGATGGGATAAGTCATAGACCTCTGTATACAGAGGTCTATGGATAAGCACATTTTTCACATCAGAACAATCCTGCAACCGTGTATGTGACTGTTTCAGCGTTATAATGCAAATAATATCACAAATGTTGACTTGTTCATGAATGTTCATAAACTGCTCGGGAGCAGATAATTGTTGGTGAACAGATGACCTTGAGAGGAAGAATTCGTAAACTATCAAATAAATCAACAAACAAACAATGTTCACGGACTGTTTATGAGCAACGATGCAAACAACCGCATCATACTCCTGTATCCGTCTTAACTGGATTATCACCCACCAATCCCAATCGGCCCACCCTGCACTGCAGACCACAACTCTCCTCGTCCCCGATCAACTCACCTGAGTCCTTATCGGTGAGCGAGAACACAAAGCTGGCCGCCTCCCGCAGCACCGTTTTCTTGGGGCCGACCGAGACACACCCCTCCGGCTGGCAGAAACACACCACATCGGCCGGCAGCGGAAAATCAGCGTGCTCGTCCGGCGGATAGCGTCGCAGCAGTTCGGGTGTCTGCACCACTGACGTTTTGGAGGGCGAGCGAGCACCAACAATCACCAGGTAGTCGGCCAGACGAGGGCAGATGGGTTTTCTGTCGGTGGCCATGGCGGTAGCGCAGTGGCTGGGTTCACCGGCAGACTGTCGCAGTGGCGCGGCGCCGCCGTTCACGGGCTTATCGCGGCTCAGATAGCAGTGAGCTCACGGCTGAAATGTACCACATGGGATCAGAATGGGGCTGGGCAAGGCCAGGGGAGGGGAGAGGATCTGGGTCGCACGCGTTAGACCAGTCCGAGTGAGAATACTGATGTGGTCGGGGTCGCACGCAATTGGGAGCCGTCACCAGGTCAAGGTTACAGGTAGGTATATAATGGCTCGCCGTTGTCCAATAGTTGTTTATCGTCATCGTGGGCATGGCGAGGGCCCGGCAACAAGGAATCGCATAATAGTCGATAAATATGCAGCGATCTACGGTGACATTTGTGGCGCTGATTTGCTGGGCATGTCGATGATCGCCCTGCCAACAATGGCTTCTTTCGGATGCGAATGCGGCATAGCTAGCTTTGTTTTTGTTTCGATTTTTGCTCGGGTGATTATGTAAGGTGTGGTAAAAGGCACACTTTCATGGCCTGGCCCAGCTGACCATTTTCATTAACTCCAAAAAGATGTTGATGACGTGTAATGGTGCTCCCCTGGAAACCTTAGGCATGTTTAAAATCGAAAATATTTAATTTCGAGGTGCAAAGTGCTTATAAGAAAATATTGAACATGTATGAAATGTCCCGGATAGGTATAATGCACATATATAAATTAAATAGTTATATGTATGACCAACTGTATTGAAACATAAATTAATATGCTATATGTACCTGTGACCACTTGTATTGACAAATGTTCGTTTGTTGACTTGACTGATGATTTAACCACCTACAGATTGTGCAAAGCTTTCACATACGATGTCGATTATTGGGGTAAACGGTCTTGTTTCCTGTTTGCCTCATATGAATGCCAGTCATCTCCCACCAGTCAACAAGTCCATCCTTTGTTGCACACGTCACAGCAGTGAAAAAAGGAATAAGAGATGCTCGTTTTGCATGTAAAAGTTCGGATATATTCACGAATACCCGTCACACGCTATCGAAGGCCGGACAGGCTGAACGCTTGGGTAGATTTGTCAGTTTGCTGGTTTGAGTGTAACGTGAATGAAAACGTTAGGTATTCTAAATATGAAGAAGGAAACGTAAATAAGATAATAAGATAAGAGGTACTTATCTTAGCGAGATTTCCTGCAATGTTTGAGCCAATAACTTCAAAACTAGCTCCTATGCGTTTTTGCATGCAGTTATTTAAACGTAAAAAGTCTGCAATTTGTATTTGACGCTCATCTCTCGAGATCATGCAACTACTAAGCTGTCTAGCAAGTAAGCGAAGATATTGAACCTCATTCGCCAGTGATACGCACTTGAAGTCACACAATCGGACATTTGTAAACCGTATGTTCATTGCTTACCAAAACAATTAAATTCAAACGCGTATGCAATGTTGCACCTAGCTCTTCTCTGTCCTCCAACAAGCTCCTCTGTTACACCCCGACACCTCTCACCACTGGGGACCTCCGGAGGAACCTTGTGCGCTGGACCCACCTGGAGCTGATCCCTCCGGCTCACCGCGGCACCCACCTGTGCGCCAGACTGGCCCGTCGAGATCGATGACTGGACGCGTCGCGCCGACCACCGTCGGTGTCGCACTCGACCGAGCCGAGACGGTCCGGTCCCGCCGCCGCCGCCGCCGCCGCGTCGGCGCTGCGCTCGGGCGGACCGCCGAGAGGGCGGATCAATAGACCGGCCGACGGCAGAGACATCTAGGGGTGGTAGGGGAAGCTGCAATTTGCGTCGATTGGAGAGATGTCGCGCAGGAGGTGGTGAAGGACTGGTTTCGTTAAGTTCGGTGTTCGGATGGCCAAAAGCTGGGGAGGGTTAGAATCAAGGGCGTTGCCAGGATAGGTGAAATATTAGGTGGACGCTTGAATACAATTGGTGTGTCTAAATGACAATTTTCGTCAGCAAATGATGTCGGATCCATTTTTGTATCAGTTTGCCACCCCTACCCCCACCTGTTCCTAGATCCGCCCCTGCTCACCTGCCCCACTGCAGCCGGAGCGCGCAGGCCCACCGGGCGCTGGGGGGCGGGGATCCGGGCAGCGGGGGGGGGGGGGCCGATCAGAACGGGTGTCTCTGCCGACACAGACAGCCGGAACCAGTAGGAAACAGGAAGCCATGAGCGGAGGTCTGGGCGAGGAGGTCTGCTTCTTTGGCGGCCACGAGGACCACCTCACACCCGATGACAGCATGAATGCCTGCTTCACCGCCTTCGACAAAGACCGGTAAGAACGAGATTGGGGTTTGCTAGACGGTTATGAGTTCCTACCGCATATCTTCATTTTACATCTGAGTATCAGGAATATTTTCCTAAAAAAGAATCTTCCCATTTTTATCCAAATTTATTGGCATATTTCTATTGATTGATGCTGATAATACCACAGCTGTAGGTGAGTGAAAAACATTTCAAATAATTTCTTTATAACTAAGCACGTTATTACATATGTCGTGCAATTACCAATAGCTACATATACGAGTATGTGCGAATTAAGGAGGAATGCAGCCTTCATTCCCGTGACAGCGCTGTTAATTTTAGACCTATATCAATTTTACCAGTGTTATCGAAAGTATGTGAAAAGGTGGTTTGCAATCAGCTCGCTTCTTATCTTGATACGTCCTCTATTTTATCACCATCTCAGTATGCGTACCGCCGATATCACTCAACGGAGGATGCTCTCACCGACGCTGTCGAGTGGGTGACGCGCCGCGTCGACAAGGGTCACATTGTTGCCATCACGTCGGTGGACCTCAGTCGCGCCTTTGATAGTGTTGACCATGGTATTTTATTGTCCAAGTTGAGCTGGTACGGTGTTGACCCCGGGTGGTTCGCGAGTTACCTCGGTGGCCGGCGGCAGGTGGTGAGAGGCGGCTCCCTATCCCTTCCTATGTCCCATGGCGTTCCGCAGGGCTCCCTGGTCGGCCCAATCCTCTTCAGCATCTTCACAAATGACCTACCTTCCTACCTTCCTCATGGACGGCTCATTTCCTATGCAGACGATACCCAACTCCTCGATTCCGCTCTTCCCACTGACTTGCCTGTCCTTAAAAAAACAACAGGAAGACACCTTGCTCGCTGTCCAGTCCTATTACACATCCAATTCCTTGAAAATGAATCCTAGTAAGACCACCCTGCTTCTTGTGGGTACTGGCCAGAACCTCAAGAAAACCTCATCCTTTTCCCTTACCATATCCGGTCACACACTACAACCATCCCCTTTTGTGAAGATGCTGGGAGTGACGGTCGACTCAACCCTATCCTGGGAAAAACACATTTCAAATGTTGTCAAAAAGTGCAATTCCATCCTTCTATGTTTGTATAAAATTCGTCATCATCTTACCCCCGAGACCCGTAAGCTCCTTATCCAGTGCCATGTTTTCCCCCACATCCTTTACTGCCTCTCCGTCTGGGGCGGGGCCGCTCGCTGTCATTTACATAAGGTGCAGAAGGTCCTGAATTTTGGTGCTAGGGTCGTCTCCGGAGCGCGGGTTTCTGAACATATTTCACCGGTGTTGAGAGCCCTCGGCTGGCATGACATTGCTGATCTTGTCGTCCACCGTGACTGCTCCACTGTGTTCAGGGCGCTGAGTGACCCTTGCGCTCCGGAGGCGATCCGCTCCCTATTCACTCGGCGAGCCGCTGTATCGCAGCGCTCAACGCGGGCAACGTGTGCCGGTGTGCTGGAGCTGCCGGCTTACCGGCTGTCTATGTCGCGCCGGGCCTTGTCGTACCGAGCGGCCTCGTCCTGGAATCGCCTGCCGCCTGCCACCACCGGCTCTCGAACTAGAGCAGAGTTTTTACGACTTTTAAACTCGACATGTGACTAGCGTTTTGGTATTTTAGTACAATGTATATGCGTGTGTGTGCTTGTGTTTTATATGTTTTTACTATTGTCATTGACTAGAAGCTGACACTAATCCATCATTGGAATGCTTCGCTAATACAATATACATATACATTTACGGTAGAATCTTCTGCGCGGTGTGGGTTCAGGCTTCGGGGTACCTAAATACGGTTTTGATTTTTTTAAAGAAGGCTTATATGATATTCAGTCAAAAGAAAAAGTGATTTGATTTGGTAAGCATCTTCATAAGAATATATGACTTCTTACGACGTGAAATGAATATTAAAATATTTTATTTGGTAGCGATGCCTATCCAAAAATCAGGCTTCAGACGCTGCTGGTGTAATTTTAAAAGCTCACTTATTGGAGAAAATTTTAAATAAAATAAGCCCAACAAAGCAAATTTTGCAATTAGGGGTTGATTCTTCGTGTCCTATCTGTGTAATTCTAGGCAAATGATTTCTGATAACAAAAACAGCTCTTGCCTATTTTGCATCCTTTTCTAAGCCAGGGAGACGACAGAATTATGTCAGTCAGTTTTCGATGCTGTCCGATGGTCAAATGTTTCAAAGTATGTATGTAGATCCGCCAGTGCTAATGAGTTATCATGAGTTGCATGACTGTTTGATATCTGTTTAGTCACACCTATCGAAACATTGCCTCATTTAGTCAAGCTGCAAACGTCTGACAACCACGCAGTCATGGTATATGCTTACCTGTCTGAACCCTAATCTGCAGGGATGACCGGATGAGTGTCGTTGAGTTCGGAGGGTTGTGTCGAGCCCTCTTCAGAAACGACGTCGGCAAGCCCTACCATCTGGACGCCAGAAAGCTGGCCGAAATGTTCAGCGTCTTCGACAAAAACGAGGTAGGTCTCAATGGGTGGCTCTGGCAGGCATTGAGATAATAGCCGTTTCACGACGGCCATCTGGTACACACTTGGTGCACATCTGGTGCAGATTAGGTGCAGATTTGGTCAAATTAGGCGCACTCGCCGGATAGCCCGTCGTGAAAACGGCTAATACAACTTAGCTAGGCTTTCAGCTCGCTTTAAGCTGCAAATGAAAACCCTCATAGCTGTCTTGCTAGCATTGAATTCGCATATACGAGTACCTACGTAGGAACGTAGGCATTGCATCGTAAACATAGCAATGCTGATTAAAAATTGTTTGACTTTATTTCGATTTCCGAAAACAA